GCAGTTTGTCCCTGGCCCTGGTTGGGTTGTGCGGGTGGCAGCCACTCAATGTGTCCTTTTCACGTCGATGTTTCTCTCTCTCTCTCTTTTCCTTTCTCTCCCTCCCACTCTATCTGAACAAAAAAAATGGAAAAATGTCCTCAGGTGAGGATAAAAAAAAGCAAAAAACAAATAAAATGTTTTAAATTGAGTCTGTAGTATTTTTTAGTTATAAGTGCTATTTGTGTGAAAAGTCATGAAAACAGTTTCTAATGTTCATACTGTATATTTCATTTTATTGTCTTCTTGCTTTAGCTAGCAATTACTGAAACGAGCATACGCTAGTGAGGAGAGCTGTCATATTGTTTTAATAGCAATTAGTTTTATGTATTACTATTTGCTCAGAACTTAATATTATACATATCATGAATATATAAACCGATATAAAATACTACTTGGACAACAACCAATATGCAGCCACATAATTTTTCCAAAAGCCCTTTCGTTTTGTTCACCTGCTTCCCCATTACCTAAGGTGACCATCATTATGCATCTGTTTGTCATCTCCTTACTTTCTTCTTAGGTAATTAATTGCATCCATAGGTATTTGTAAAAATGTATTTTTTTTTTTAATTTTAGCTTTCAAACTACATAAAATATGCTAGATTTATTTTATCACTTTTTTTTACTTATTAGAGTGACAAGATTTATCCTGTCTTGTGTTAAAGTATGAAATTCATTTTCTTCTAAATTTAATTAGACAAAGAGTTGTATAGAACAATCTGATTATTTTGTTTGCTGTAGAGATTAAACTCTTGAGATCTGTATTGTTAACCTTGTAGTTGTTAAATTATGGTTCTTTCATTTTTTCTTTTAACTTTTATTATCAAATTATCTTTTAGTGGTTAAAACCACTGACTCTGGAGTGAGATCCCCAAGATTTGAATCCCAGTTGTTCTACTTACTAGTAAAAAATAACTGGATTTTATCAACCCAATTCTTTAAAACTTTTGCTTTTTGGTAGGTAAACTACAGCATTCACCTTTTATTACACTAAGCGATCTAGTTTTCTTCTCTTTATTTTCAGCTTCATTAAGGATTGTGTTTGTAAATTCCTTAGTTTCTATATGTTGTAGATGACTCATCTATAAAATGGAATTAACAATAGTACTTAGTTTATACAAATGAGTGAATACAAATAAATTTACCAGAAATGTACTTAGCTTACAGTAAGCAATATGTGTTTGGTGTTATTTATGTAATGATACTGTAATTTTCTTTTTCCCTATTGCCTTACTTTTGCTGATTTTTTTAAAAAATTGTCTCTCTCACCTCTTAAAATGGGAAGTTCTGAGTATCTCTGTTGGTGCTTATTTTTAAATTATCTATGCACACTTACAATTATTAAGAATTAAAAGTAAATAATAACTATATCCCTTTTGCACTAAGCTGTGTGATCTACATTCTCCCCTCCCCTACTGACATTTTTCAAAGTGAATATGCTAATTTCCACTGTTACCAGGGGTATATGAGAAATTCAGATGCCCCACATTATATTATCATGCCTTATTTTTGTCAATATTTTTTATTTTCACCATTTGAGTGAGTATATAATAATGTTTTATTGTTTTAACTTGCATTTTTTTCCTGATTATCAGTAATTTTTTGCATCATTTTATACATTTTGCCTTTATGTTTTATCTTTTGTGAGGTATTCAAGCCTTCCTTTTTTATTGTTTTTTTTTTTTTTCTTATTGATTTGTAATTATTTTTAAAAATATTTCATTGATTTTAGAGAGAGGAAGGGAGAGGGAGAGAGAAATAGAAACAGCTCTGTGAGAGAAACATCTATCCTCTGCCTCCTGCATGCCCCCTCCTGTGGATCAAGCCTGAAACCCAGGCATGTGCCCTGACCAGAAAAGTTGAACCAGTAACCTCTTGGTGCATGGGCCATTGCTCAACCAACTGAGCCAGATGGGCTAGGATGATTTGTAGTTATTAATTATATAAATTGTATATGAGCTCTTTATTATTGTTATATATATTGCAAATACCTTCTCCTACTCCAATAATGCAATAATGGTGTTTTTTGTTGAACACAAATTTGAAGTTTTAATTTAGTCAAATAGTCTTTATAGTTAGTTTTTTTGGTATCTCACAGTTCATTTATCTATTGATGGGCATTTGGGTTGGTTCCACCTTTTGGTTGTTGTGAATAATTCAGTGAAGATCCTGCTTTTAATTATTTTGGATATATATGCAGAAATAGTTCCTGAATCATATGGTAGTTCTAGTTGTAATTCTTTGAGGTACCTCTATATTGTTTTTTTGTAGCAATTGCAGTGTTTTATAATCTCACTAACAGTTTGTAAGAAGTCTAATTTTTCCACATCTTCGCCAACACTCATTTCTGTTTTTGTTTTTTTTCATAGTAGCCATCCTAATGGGTGTGAAGTGATATCTCATTGTAGTTTTGATTTGCATTTCTGTAATGATTAGTGATATTAAGCATATTTTCATATGCTTATTTGCCATTTGTATATTATCTTTGGTAAAATGAATATTCAAGTTCTTTCCCATTTTCTCATAGAGTTATTTTTGTTGAGTTGTAGGAGGGTTTTTTTCTTGTTGTTTTTAAAATATGTTCTGGTTACTAACCTCTTATTAGATATATGACTGCAAATATTTCTCTCATTCAATAGGTCGCCTTTTTTACTCTGTGTCCTTTGCACAGACTTTAAAAAAGGTGATGTAGTCCCTTTTGTTTATTTTCTTTTATTGCCTGTGCTTTTGTGTCATATCCAAGAGTTCATTGCCAAATCTAATGTTGCGAAACTTTTCCTCTGTTTTCTTTTAGGAGTTTGAGTTTTGGGTCTTGCACTTAGGTCTTTCATCCATTTTGAGTTAATTTTTATAAATTATTTGACATAAGAGTTCAGTTTCATTCTTTTGCACGTGGATATCCAGTTTTTCAAACACCAGTTGTTGAAGAGACTGTTCTGTCCATGTTGAATTGTCTGCGCACCTGTGGTGAACATCATTTAACTATATACGTAAAGGCTTATTTCTAGGTTCTGTATTCTATTCCCTTGGTTTATATGCTATGAACATCCTTTTTCCCTTCTCTTAGGTGTATTTGTAGGATTAGAATTGCAGGGTCATAGGGAAGATATACGTCTGACTTCATTTAGAAATTGTCAGGGAGTTTTTCCGAAGTTGTTGTACCAATACTTGGTATTATAGATCTTTGAAATTTTAGGCATTTGGAAGGGTAGAGTCACTTTGTCTCTTGGTTGACTTGTTATGGAAGCACTTAAAGTTATATGAAATATATCCTTAAATATATGTTTATTTATTATGTTTTCTACCTAGTAGATTATAAGCTTTATGAGGTGCTTTTTGCGTCTCAATTTCTAAATGTTTCCTGATATACAGAAGGTAGTCAAAAAATGTTTATTTTGAATTTATAAAATAGGTGAATGAATAAGTCAAAACATGAATATTTACCTTCTTCCTGAAAGTGCTGAGATTTGTATTCATAAATATAGCTGGGGTCTTTTCTGGTGTCCAGTAATTGGTCACAGATATTTTAGTGGTTGAATCACCCCAGGAGAAAAGGATGGTAGAATAAAGTTTTAGGTCTATATCATCAGTTTGCCAAATTTTCAGAGTCTTCACTAAGATACATTTTAAAACCTAAGAGCAAGTAATATTAAAAGGCAGGATGGTTTTAGGAATCAGAAAAAGAAGTTCATTTGTAGAAACAGTGTTTAGAACTTTAGTTTCTTTCTTACAACTATAGGATTACTGCTTTAAAATGAAATAAATTATTTCTGTATGAAAATATAGTCTTATATTTATGTCCAATTCTTATAGTAGAACTAAGTATTGATTGTTTCTATATTCATTATTGGTTTATTAAGTATCCAGACCTTTTATTTCTTCTTATCTGATTATTTTGGTTCTTTTTTCTGTTCAGAATACTTTCACCAAACAAGTGTTAGTAAATTAGCAGAGAAAAATAAGAAAGGAGAGTAGACTAGAAAAACAAGCTAAAGAAGGGAAATAGGACAAGCCGCCCATTCTGCCTATGAATTTTTTCAGAAGCACAAATAATTAAGCATTTAGAAATGGCTTCTATAAATGCATAGGACTTAAAGGTGGTTGCTATAATGATCTTCAGTGTTCAATAATTTTAATTCTGTATTTATACAAGCAAAATAATAAAGTATTTTATATAATCAAGTATTATAAAATTTATATCGACATTTGATTTTATGGGTTTGAAATAGATATATATTGTTTTATGGGTTGATTTTCTGTTATTATTGGTGCTCTTCACATATTGTATAACAAAAGTTTGTTTTATTCTGTGTTTTATGACATTTCATCCTACAAAGTATGATTACTCTGTAGTGAGATTAAATGCCATCAGTAAACTGAGGGCCCAGTTTAACTACAGAGAAAAACATGGGGACTTTTCTTTTTAAATTTTTTTCTTTATTGATTTTTTTAGAGATAGAGGAAGGGAGAGGGAGAGAGAGAGATAGAAACATTGATGAGAGAGAACATTGATTGACCACCTCCTGCATGCCCCCCAACTGGGGATTTGGCCCACAATCTGGGCGTGTGCCCTGACCAGGAATCAAACCGGCGACCTCTTGATACATGGGTTGATGCTCAACCAGTGAGCCCCACTGGCCGGGTGGGGACTTCTTAATTTATTTTTATTTTCTATCCAGTGCTTAATATTTTTGAATACTTATAGCTGTTTAAAAAGACTTAGTTACAGTTTTATTAGTGCAATCTATGAAAATACGAATATTTTATTTACTATGAAGAGTAATGCTCACGATAATGCATAATGCTGTATAACATTGTTTTAAATACTAATTGTTTGCCCTTTTCTTGTTTCACATTGGAAGCACATGTGTAACTATTAGTTTTGGGCTATTTTATTTTGCGTTATATTTTGGTCACATAATTTAATGACTGCACATTATATTCCCTTTTCCCCTCAGAAAGTCAAATAAAGAAGACCACTTTACCTTTTCATAACTACAGCAATGTGAATGAAGATCTTAATATGAAGAAGGAAGCAGTTTTAGGACACCCTTCAAAAAACATATCACTGGAAAATGAAAAAAGCCAGTTACATTCCAGGAAAAAGCGTTTTTTATCATATCCAAGATACGTGGAAGTTATGGTGACAGCCGACACCAAAATGGTTCATCACCACGGGCCGAACTTGCAGCACTATGTGCTCACTCTGATATCAATTGTAAGTAAACGTAAGTCTTTTACGTTTCCTAAAATTCTTGACATAGTATTTTCTCAAATGTAATTTTTTAGAAGTTTTTCTAGCTCTAGATGTAAGTAAATTGTATCTAGGCATAAGGCAAAAATAATTAAATTTAGTTCAGTTGCATGGCAAGTATTCCATTCTGTTAGTTGGACAACTTCCTAATATATTTAAAAATCCTCTGAAACCACTTATAGAAAATGCTTGATTTACTTCATCACATGAATGGCTTCTGCCCCCTAGTGACAGGGAAGATCCTAGTAACATGGATCTTTTGCCCTTAAAATCTAAATTTTAAAAATCTCACCCTATTTTTTCACAAAGGGGAGGGTATATTATTTTTACTACCAATACATTGGCCAAATTAGAAATTAGGATGCATGATATTTTAGGTTATAAATGCATTTATGGGGATAAAATGATAGGCTATTACTAATAGAGATGCTTTAGCAAATATGGGACGTAAGCTACAAGAGTCCCTTATCTGATGTTAATATCGCTGTTGTGCTGTGGTGGTGTCTGTATCCATAGAACCGAATTCTAATGCCCATGAAGACCATCATTTTGAGCACTTATATCATATATGCACATGCACACACACACACACACATGCACACACACATATGTACATATACACACACATATCTACCTTTTGAGACATTTTTAGGTCTAGGCTTGCTGTTGTGGAGTAATTACTAAAAGCACTTCCTCCTTTTATGCTCATGTGTATCCTAGTTTAGCAAATGAGTTATATGGCCACATATTTATACAGATTTAGGGCATTGGAACATATAGCTAAGTAGACATGGTCTTTGTGGCCTAAACATAATGTCTTGTATGCAATGGGCACTGAATAAATAAATCTTGAAAGGAAAAGAATGAATGACTAAGTAATTAAAATAACACTTTTTTCCCCCCACAATGCATGACTATAATAGACAAAAAAGAGATGATCCAAAATGATTTTCTCAAATTTATATAATATAGACATCTATTTGTTTTGTTTAATTGAATTGAAATTTTAAAATGACAATTGAGCTATACATAGAAATTTATCCTGATGACATTTTTTTTAAACTTCTGATTCTGAAGTAATTATCTAGATATGTAATTATCTAGATGTATAATTATCTAGATATGGGTGTAGCATGTTCTTTAGGAAAGTTTCTAATGAGAACACTGACATGGAAGATGTCAATTGATAGGTAGGAAATTGTATCAATCATATGGAACACTGTGGGATAAACTTTGCAATTTTAAATGTTTAAAGAAAATTATATTCATTAAGAAATTAAGAGGGTAGTGTCTGGATTGTGTGGCTCAGTGGTTGAGCATCGACCCATGCACCAAGAGGTTGCTGGTTTGATTCCCAGTAAGGACACATGCCCAGGTTGTGGGCCAAATCTCCAGTGAGGGGCATGCAGGAGGCAGCCAATTGATTTTCTCTCTCATCGATGTTTCTATCTCTCTCTCCCTCTCACTTCCTTTCTCTCTAAAAAAAAAAAAAAAAAAATCAATAAAGGAAAAAAATCTCCCTTAAAAAAATAAAGAAATTAGGAGGGTAATGATACTGAAGGAAATATTAGATTTTGTAAACACAACAGGTTTTGAAGCATGTTAAATGACATGCAACTCCTGCATCAGTACTTTGGAAAGACTGACTAAAAGGAGTGTAAGAACACAAGAGTAATTTTCCAAGGATAATTTTAGAATAGCTATATGCAGTTTTGGTGATAACCTCATCTTTCAAAAGTTTTATTATCTATATTTTTAAAGAAGTTTTTATTGATTTGAGAGAGAGAGAAATAATTGATGTGAGAGAGAAACATGGATCGACTGCCATCTGCACTCCCCCCACCAGGAATCAAGCCCACAACCCGGGCATGTGCCCTCACTGGGTATTGAACCAGCCACCTCTTGGTGCATGGACGATGTTCAACCAAGGGAGCCACACCGGCCATTAGAGTTATAAAGCCAGAGTTTATCAAGGGCAAAAGCAGACCTTTTGACTTCATGGAAAGTAAATCTGCTTCTGAGATTGTTTGCAGCAACAGACAAATGCATGCTTATATCATTTCCTAGGGTTTTACTTCCATTAGGAGGGGAGCCAATGATAACAGAAGACAAGATGCTCGTAGATGCTGTTAGGTGGTTTGTGTCAAGTGTTCCTTCACAGGGAGATAGATACTGCAGTAGGTCAGGAAGAGGAGAGCACTCCAAAGATACATGGCGTAGCAGAACAAATTCAGGAGGCTCTCTCTTTTGAGGTAGTTTGGGTTTTGTATATACTTTTTGTTCCTCAGAGGTCAAATTTCAGGTGATTTCTAAATTACCTGGGTTTAGTGGTTTTTTTTGTTTTTTTTTTTTTCTCTCTCTCTCTTTTATTAAAATACTGTTCAGATAACGATACAAGAAAGTCAGCCACTCTAGGGTTTTGTACCTGTATGGCTATTTTATTAGTGAAAAACTGTGATCACAGCTACTATTTGTAGATATAAACAAGTTAAAGGTGAAAGTAAACTTGGAGAAAAAGTGACACCTGTTTTTCCTGGGACTTTCTTAACCTTAATATTAAAAGTTTTATGTCCCTGGAAACCCCTTAGTCCTGGGCAAACCGGGACTGTTGGTCACACTATAGAAAGATTGCAAAATGTAGTCCAACTCGTCTTATTTCTACTTGGGAAGTCCATTTCCAAATCTGCTCTGGAGAGGTGACCTAAGTGTCCCCAGATGTTTACAGGTGAGGAAGGGGCCCATTCAAGTTTTACATATTTTGTCCTAATTTATAAGAAGGCATTAACTGACTGCATTTATTCAAACAGATTCAGGATATCATTAATGTTCTTGGTCATGGTAATATAGGAAAAAAAACAAGAAAATACGATTTCGACTTGGAATATGACTGAGAGTCATTTAAAGAAAAGTCCGAAGAGATGAAAAAGAATTGCTATGTGTTGAGCTCCAGATACAAGAGGGGGATTGTTGAATACTTTCAGCATTGAACTGATGGGTTATAATTTAGAGAGACTATCTATCCTTACTCATCGAGCACAAAGTAAACAACTGTGCTATCTTCAAGTTTTTCTTTGCTTTCAACAATTAAACAAAATATTCAAGCACAATGATACGGAAATAATGTGTGTGATTTAATTCACTTTTTAGAGTGCCGTACTCATGTTGTAAAAATAGCTTAGTGATCTCTAATCTAAGGATTGTGGAATTAACATTAAAATTAGCTGGGAAGAACACAGCTGTGGTATATAGTTTATCTAATGAAGTAAGTGTGTTACGTGAGCAGAAAAGTTCAATTATTTGCTATTCCATAGCTTCTATCTTTAGAGAATTTAGGTGACATTATCACATTAATATGGCATTTATGTATGCATTATTAAACCACCAAGGTGATTATTTTCTTCAACAGATTCACTTTGATATTCAATGACTTACTATTTAACAAACCTTGAAAATATTTATGTCAGAGACCTCCACTCTCCATTGTGTTTACAAAGGTTTGACTTTTTAATATTCACTTTGTTATAGATTTAATGTAAACTTAAGGAGCATCATGTGACACTCAGGAATCAGCCCTATGTATTAAAATGTAGTTCCTGTTATTTAGAGGCCTTGGTCAACCAAAAGCCCTGACTTGCATTACATCGACTCAACATTGCTGTCCGTTCTCTGAGTTGCTTTTACTGATGTTATTCAGGATGAGAAATTCTTCAGCCACACTGAAATAAAAACTAATGAGTTATTTTCATCATTTTATGACCATTTGTGTTACCTTTTCCTTTCTTCCACTCACTGTTCTGCTTATTCTTAAATCTTCGCAGGTATTTACTTTGTAACTATGTGGAATGTCATCATTTTCTAACTTAAAAACAAAAAGGTCTTTTCTGACGAGAATAGTGATTTTTGTAAGCATAATTTGTTTACTTGTTAAAATCAGTTTTTGTATAGATGAAGGTAAAGGTAGTTAAAAGGCATGAACTTTTACCTGGCCAGTATAGCTCAGTGGTTGAGCATTGACTCATGCACCAAGAGGTCACCAATTTGATTCCCAGTCAGGGCACATGCCCAAGTTGTGGGCCCGATCCCCAGTGGGGGATGTTCAGGAGGTGGCCAGTCAATCAATGTTCTCGCTCATCACTGTTTCTATCTCTCTCTCTTCCTCCCTCTCTCTCTAAAATCAATAAAGAAAAAAAAATTTTTTTAAAAGGCACAAACTTTCAGTTATAAATTATTCCTAAGGATGTAAGTAAGGTACAGCATGGTGACTATAGTTAATAATACCATATTGTATATTTGAAAGTTAAGAGAATAGATATGAAAAAGTCTCATAAGAAAAAAATTTCTAACTATGTGTGGTGATAGATTTAATCTAAACTTATTTTGTAGTGTATACATATATCAAATCATTGTTATATACCTAAAATTGTTTTATGTCAATTCTCTCCATTTTAAAAATGGCTAAAATGATAAAGATAAATGAAGGTGACCTCTAAACATTTTATATATGAACATTTGCTAAAACTTTATATAGTAATTATTTCAAAATGGTGGGTCAGTTAATGGTGATAGTAATTTTTTTCATGCTTTGCATGAAGTATTTTCTGCCTAGAATTTTCTTGAAAATATTTAAACAATAAGTTATACTATCTCTTTACTTTTCATTAATACCTATGAACTAATGCTTACTATTTGAGACCTATGAAAAAGTATGAACTCTGTTTTGTGGAAACACACATTTATAGAATAAAAGATTAAATAAATTTTAATTAGAAGAATAAAAATTCTAATACATAGCATTCTAAAACGTAGTGATGACAATAATATATAACAGTATACATGACTTCATAGCCATGTGATCATTCATCTGCCTGATTCACAATTCAGCTTATTGAATAATTATTCATTAATAGCATCTTTAAACATTCAAATATAATAAAGTACATATATTGAGTATCAGCATATACATCATAAAGGTCAATACATAAAACAATAGAAGGTGCATAAAATTAAATGAGCAAGATGACCTTAAAGAAACATCATTTTAATATAAAAGCAAATATCAATCTGAGGGGCTTAGGAGGTGTATAAAGAATGATTTACACCAAACCATCCATTTTTGTATTTTGTACCACCAGAAAAATGAGTTTAAGGGTACAGATCATGCCTTATTCATCTCTATATCTAGTAAGTGACACACAGAGTTTGACAGACAGTAGATATTTAATAAATATTGAAATAAATAATGAAATGGATGCTCTCGGATCCTTTGCTTTACATTTGAGTATGCTGTGATAACTAATTTGAAACACATGAACTAAAACTAGCATTATATACACCATAGGCCTTTTATTCTGGAAACGTTTTATAGGTAGTAATAAAAATTACTACCATTGACACTTATGACCCAGGCCCTGATCTAAATGCTTTTTGGGACACCACTTCATTTCATCCTTATAGTAGCCGATAAGTAGGTATTATCAAAAAGTGGTAGTTATAATTTGAACCTGGGTCTGTGTAACTTAAATGATGGTGCTTTATAACATCCATATTGCATAATAATTATTTGAATTATCTTTTCCCTTAGATTTTATGGAAATTTTGCTGTACCAATATATTCTAAAACATACTGTTAGAATACTGGGAATAGGTTTCCAAATTCTAACCAGTAGGTTGGTCACTTTTCAATAAAGGTGTATCATCTGTTTCCTTCTGAAACTAAATATATTTTAGTGGTTATATATTTTATAGCTAATATTACAACATCCAGATTGTCATTTTAGTCAACATATTTGGGGCAATGAGTAGAGAAAGAAGCCAGTTCAATACTTTATAGAGTGCTTCAGCTGTTTGCTCTGGAGTACTGGGAATGGATGATTCCCTGTGACACAGATGTCTTCAAAGCATTTTATTTTTAGGGGAATAAAGCCTTTGTGCATACTTTTGAGGTGTACTGTTTACCTTGTAGTTTGACTTAGAAAAGCATCTACTTTTATTTTTTATTTTATTTTTTTAATTTTTTGTTACAGATGTTTCTCCTTTTTTACCCCATTAGCACCCCTCCCCACCCTACCCCTGCCCCGTCCCCGACTTTGTTGTCATGTCCATTGGTCATGCATAGATGCATATAAGTTCTGTGGTTTAGCTCCTCCCTCCCCCCACCCCCTTTTCTGAGGGATGTCAGTCTGTGCCCTACTTCCATGTTTCTGGGTCTACCGTGTTCCTCAGACTGTTACGTTCTATTTTTATTTATTTTTTAAAATTTATCTTTATTGTTGATAGAAGGAAAAGTATCTCATGATCTCACTTATATGTGAAAAAGCTACTTTTAAACTCACAGAATTAAAGTATAACTCTGAAGTCACAAATAATGGGTCTACTTTGTTTTCTACAGTAGATACATTTTTTAAGTTGCATGAAAATGAATATTTGGCCATTCAGCTATAGATTCCTACAGCTCCCATTTTTTAAAATGTGTTTTTATTGATTTTAGAGAGAGAAACATCAATGGCTGCCTCCAACTGAGCGAGAACGACCAGGGCTCCACCGCTCTCATTCTAAAGGGAGTAACACTTCCCTGGCCGGTTTGGCTCAGCGGTTAGAGTGTCGGCCTCCAGACCAGAGAGTCCCGGGTTTGGTTCCCACTAAGGAATCCCCCTGGTTGGGGTTGTGTGGGTGGCAACCAGTCGATGTGTCTCTGTCACATCAACGTTTCTCTCTCTTCCTCCCTCTCTCCCTCTCACTCTATCTGAAGATAAATGCAAACATGTCCTTGGGTGAGGATAAAAAAATTCTATTTTTAAAGGGAGCAATACTGTAGTGCTAACAGACCTGCTTGAAATCACCATTTGATTGGCCCCATCTTAACTTACTCTTTTTTTTTTTTATGAATTTTTATTTATTTTTTTGTTACAGATATTTTACCTTTTTACCCCATTGGCACCCTCCACCCCACCCCCCCTCCACCCTGTCCCCGGCTTAGTTGTCCATGTCCATTGGTCATGCATACATGCATATATTAACTTACTCTTAACCCCACTGTGGCGACCACCACTCTTGCCAAATAAATGCCACCCTCCAAAGCCAAAGGCATCACTTCAGGGAGAGATGACAAACCTGTGCTTGTGGCTGCACCACTAAAACACTAGGAAAAGTGCTGGGATGTGCAAGTCTGTGCTACCCTGCAGTGTCAGCCTCTCCAGAGAGGCTTGGCCTGTGGCTCCGGTTCTGGTAGGACTCTGGCACTGGCAGCCACAGAAGCAGTTATACTATTCATTGTGCTGATGGAGCGAGGGCTCTGCTACTTGTACTTCTAGCACATTGTATTCTCCACAAGATCAGTGACCACATCCTCTAGTCAACAAAACAAGGAGTGGAGGCCGAATATTTATTAAATAACTGAGAGATGTAACACCTACTGAAGCAATCGCTGCCTTGGTTTGGGCAATGGTCCAGGAGATGGTGATCAAGGTTTCAGAAGCAATTTTTATTGCACAGCTAGTCCAGGTCTACTGAGATGTGTTACTAATGGAGTGTGAGACAGAGGCCTTGGCCATGGAAGACATTCCTACTACAGTGGTGACCTTTATGATGGTTACAGAAGAGGATATGAATTAGTGAATTGGATAGCACCTTAATTATGAACCACAAACCGAACCCATGCAGAGTGTCTCTTAGACTGTGTTCTACAGTTTTGGAGAGTTAAGAACCAGGTTGTGACCCATAATCTCTTCTATGGCTCTTTATATGATTCTGGATGAATCTATCACTATGGGTTCCAGTAGTGCTAAACTTTAAAAATCATAAGCATATGTAGAACTGGAAATGTGCAACCATGGCAGAAGAGATCAGGTAAAACTACCAGAAAAGTATTTATTATGAGCATTGTGGCCACATAAATTGTGGACTGTGATACAGAATAAAGTGCATTTCTGCTGAATCATTGAGAACAGCATTTTTCAAGCATCAATGCATGTTCATGCAGATTTTTGACTCACCAATCCATGGTGAGGCCTGAGATTTTGTATTTCTAACCAGATCTAGGTGACAGGGATTCTGCTGATCCAGGACAAATCTCAGTAGCAAGGTTTAGGATACTGGTTCTCAAAGTTGGCTTGGACTCATTAAAAAAAAAAAATATCCTGAGGAATTTTAAAAGATATTGATGACTAAGCCTCACCCCTGGAGATTCTGACTTAATTGGTAAGGGATGTGGCCTGAGCTTCAGGATTTGTGAAAAGCTCCCTAGGAGATTCCATTGTGCAGCTAAGTTGGAGAATTGATGCTCTCGGACTGGTTTCAATTTACTTTTGAAAAGAAATTCATTTCAGACATCTAATCCTACATTTTTATTTCCCTGCAGGTTGCAGCAATCTATAAGGACTCAAGTATTGGAAATCTTATAAACATAGTAATTGTAAAATTAATTATAATTCATAATGAACAGGTAAGAAACAGCTCTCAAATTAGTAATTTTAGTTGTAGTAGGCTCCTAGCATGTGTGTGTGTGTGTGTGTGTGTGTGTGTGTGTGTGTATAAAAAGAAACTTATTAGAAATAAGATACTTTAAAATTCATGTTTAAAAAAACTTGATTTGGAATGAGATTACTTTGAAAACTTGAAAGGAATGAGATTAACTTTTCCTGTTGTGATAGAAATAAAATGGAATAACAGCAGAGGAAGTAACACATTAACAAACAATTAAGAATTTTCCCCTTAAAAACATTCATGTATTCACTTTTATAATCCTATGGTTGAAGGATTTAGAATGTGGTAATTTTTAGAAGGTAGTGTTTTTATTCTAGAGACTGGTTGGTTATATTGAGACTGTCTAATTAGACTCTGTTTGATCACAGTGTTGTACGTATTGCTGAAACGTGTTTGAAATATGAGGGAGAGAGAATGCCACTTTACTTGCCTTTTAAAATGCTATTTGATAATTTGCATGGACACTGACAAGCTTTGAGGGAAGAGAGGCCACGAATGTTTTGCGTAATACTGAATTGTGTATTTTTTGCACAGGAAGGACCAGTCATCAGTTTTAATGCAGCTACCACATTACGCAACTTTTGTTTGTGGCAACAAACTCAGAATGTTCTTGATGATGCTCACCCATCCCATCATGATACTGCTGTTCTTATCACTAGGTACAGTTTCAGAAATATAACACTTCTAACTGCCATTGCTTACCATTTTTCTCCTGCATGATCACTGATACTTCTTGTTACCTTAATTCTTTATCAGTGATACAGAAGTGTTCTGTGAGAACTTGTATTACAAAAGGTATTATTGATTGAAAGCATTCTTCTATTCTTTTAGACCAGTACCCTTGGGAAATTAGCATTTCCTTAGGAATTGATTCCTTAGGAAATTAGCATTGTTGGGTTGTTAAGTAATGGTATGACCTAAACAAAATAATTACCTTATTATATTAGTGGTAAAATAAGACAATTAAGAAAAATATTTAGAAATTAGGGAACTGAGAACAAGTGGTGTTCATTTCCTGCTTGATCATTCAATCACTTGGAAAGGAGAGCTTTTGCATTTATTTGTCTAATAAAAGTGGTCCTTCTACTTAAAAAAAAATTTATTTCTTATTTTGATGTTCAATGCATGTAAGCTGCTTTTGAAGGTTTTTCTCAAACTTAGATATATGAAAAACAGCTTCTGCTATTATAAAATGATAATCCATTTTACCACTGTCCATTGTTAATTCTCACCTTTGTTTCAGCAACACTGATGCTACCAGAATATTTAAATTCTAGGTTGTTGGGTACTTTTGTCAGTTGGTTGATCAAAGGAAATAAATCTCTCACTTGAGGATCAGAGTTGGAGAATTTTCAGCTTTTAGAACTCTGAAATGCAAACCTTTAGTCCATATGTAACTGGGGACATGGACTTCATCTCTTTGCAAAACTGAAGCAGAATTGACTTAATTTTATATAGTCGTCTATTATCAGTCCTTGGTCCTGCCCTGGACTGTAGTTTAGAGGCCAAGCAACAGAGACTATAAATAACAGCTTAAACAGGAGAGGTAGAAAGGGCTAGAAGAGGAGACCATAAGGAGAGAGACAAGAGAACTTTCAAGTTAAGTGACTAGGGACTAAGTAAGGAAGAAGCAGTAAACCTTAAGCAACTTGGTAACATCTGAGAACCACATTATTTTGCAGCAGAGAATAATCACGAAAGCTCACAATAATATTGAGACATAAAGAAAGAGTAGATTATGTTACACATACTGTATATGTAAAGGCAAAAAGGTGAAAAATACACTTAGAAAGTTTTTCATTGAACTTGGTTAAGCTTCAACTATTTACAGCAATCACTTTTATATAGCACCTATTGCTTACTGATATACACAGCTCTAGGTCTGAACTTATTGAGAGCTTACTAAGAACTGGATTTCAGAAGTCAGTTTGTGGTAATATTTAAACTTCTTTATCTTTGTTTTGGCTTGTTGCAAAAATATTTTCTGAAAATGCTTCAAAATTAATCTTTTTTTTAAGGGAAGACATTTGTGGAGCTAGAGAGAAATGTGACACACTAGGTAAGTTATTTTGTAAATTAAATATAGCCTATATAATTGTTTACTGAATTTAAGATGATGTTTAGGTTATTTTACATTTTAATCATCTTGATCAGTTGTCTGGGTTAATGATTATAGTTGTCACTATTATTTGATTCTGCTTCTATAAATTCTAAAGAATAATAAGAACTAATATGTGCCAGTTACTAAGTATCAATTGCTGTGCAGAGCTTATTTTAAGGGTTTAATTTACAATATTTGATTCATACGAAATAATACTCAATAATCCATATGCAAATTTAAAGGAAAATAATAAAATGAATAGCCATGAATCAACCACCAGATTTAAGAGCTTGAAATTTCATCAGTATTATTGTATGTCCTGTGCTAAGTCCTGTTCTGTCCCCTTGCATTTCCCCAAGAGGTGGCCAGTATTGTGAATTTTGTATGTGCCAGCTCCTTCCATCTTTTGAAAAAGTTTTATTACATGTGTATATGTTCCTAAGAGAAATTGTTTGGTTTTGCTTTTTTTTTTTAGCTTTGTGGTTTTAGTTCATGCATTTTCACTGCTGTATAATATTTTACCCATGGTTCACATATCCTTTATCCTGTCAGTGGATATTTGGGTTAATTCCAACTGTGTTTTGTTATTAACTTTCCTATAAGAGCTAAAGTATATAGTCTTATTATTAGAATTTTTTTGTCAGTAAATGTGCTAATGTTCAATGTAATAAGATTTACCAAATTATTTTTTAAAGTGGTTGTACCAATTTGAACCTTTATAAATAGTGTATCAACATTCCTTTTGATTATGTCCTTATCAACAAGAGCTATCTTCAGATTGCTCCTTTTTGCCAATCTGAATGTAATATATTTTATTACATTAAAAATTTTCAATTTTATTATTACTAATGAATTTGAGCTAGAATATTGTCTATCAAGTTTATCTCTTTAAATAACCAATTATTTGCTTTCTTAAAAAATATTTTTTCTTTATTGATTTTTAGAGAGAGGAAAGGAGAGAGAGAGATAGAAACATCTATGAGAGAGAATATCAACTGGCCGCCTCCTGCATGCCCCCCACTGGAGATTGGGCCCAAATCTGGGCATGTGCCCTGACCAGGAATTGAACCAGCGATCTCTTGGTGCATGGGTCAATTCTCAGTTACTGAGCCACACCTGCCAGGCACCAATTATTTGCTTTTTATCTGTTGTTTTTACTTCACTAATTTCTGCACTTGTTTTTTTCAATTTACTCCTGCTGTTCTATTTGTAATGTAAATTATCTTAGCTGGTTAACATCCAGGATATTTTCTTTTCTAATTTTATTATTTAAGACTATCAGTTTACTTCAATGTATTATGTGGTTGTGTCCCACAAGTTTAGAGAGATATTTTTATGTCATTCAAAATTATAAAAAATTCTTAGTATGTATAAATTCCATCATGATTTCTTTGATTTATTATTTAGAAAAGCATTTAAAATTTTCTTCTTATTGAATTCTAGTTTAATGTCATTGTAGTTGGAGATCATGATCTATATGATACCAATTCTTTGGAATCTTTTGATAATTACCTTTATGGTCTATTATGTAGTCAATTAAAAAATAATGTATTTTTTTAAAAGAATGTATATTCTCTATGGTACACAGGGTTCTCTATGTCTGTTAAATCAAACTTGCTAATTGTGTTATTCAAGCCAGGTATATACTTACTAATTTTTTGCTTGTTAGGTAACTAACTTGAAACATGAGTATATATCTGTCACTCTCCATATAATATTACAATTTTTCACTTTGTCTATTTTCAGGCTAATGATTTTGGTACATATAAGTTTCAATTGAACCTCTTACAATTGTACAGTGACTCCACATCTAATAATACTTTTTAAATTAAAAAGTCAGTATAGTTATATATTTAAAATATTATGTCCGACAATAATGTAGCTACCCCAACTTTTGTATAGTATTTGCTGGATATAGCTGTTCCTTTAATTTTCCAAGGCCCTTATACTTTAGGTGTTTTTCTTGAAAATAAAATATAATTGGATTTTTAAAATAACATCTATAATCTATATAACTGGCAAGGTTAGTCCATTTACACTCATTGTAATTGTTATGGTATATATTGGTATATATGGTATATATTGACTTATATATGCCATTTTGATTTTGTTTTCTATTTATCCCATTTTGCACTGTGCTTCCCTTCCCCTCCATCACTCTTTGGCCTTCTCTGAGTAAATGTGTTTTTAAATTAGTTTTCTTATTCCACCATTTTCTGTGCAGGTTGAAAATTGTATGTACGATGTTATTACTTTGGCTTTTAACTTATTTCATATTTAACATCTAAAGCTCTCTCCTAAACAGATATCTTAGATTACTTAAACTTTGTTCTACTTCCTCCTAACTTATATGATATTGTCTATTTTCTTTTTTTTTTTTCCTCACCCGAGGACATTTTTCAATATTTTGTTCAGATAGCATAGGAGAGAGAGAGAAAGAGAGAGAGAGAGAGAAACATCGACATGAAAGGGACACATCGAGTGGCCTTCACCCGCACGACCCAACCAGGGCCGGGGACAAACTGCAACCAAGGTACGTGCCCTTAGCAGGAACCAAACCCGGGTCTCTCTGGACCACAGGCCGATGCTCTAACCACTGAGCCAAATTGTCCAGGGCATATATTGTCTATTTTCTATCATTTTGTAAACTTTGTGTATTTAAGGATAATGTTTTATATTTAATATTCATTAAAGTTTGTTCTCATTTTTATACATTTTTTATAATTTCTTTTTACATCTTAAACCTTGATTCTGAGGTTGTTTCTCTCCCCCTCCTGACCCCTGAATTATAGATTCTAAAAATCCTTCAGAGAAGATAAATTACTGAAAAATTCTCTATTTTAATTTATTCTTGAAGTGTCCTTAATTTACCCCTATTTCTAGGTACCAATTCTAGGTTGACGGTTATTTTATCTCAATATTTTAAATATGTAATTGCATTATCTTTTGATTTTTGCTATTGAGAAATCTGTAGTCTGTTTAGTTGTAGTTTTTTTTGTTTTGTTTTTTTTGGTGATCTGTTCCATATTCTGGCTGCTTATGAAATCCTCTCTTTGTTTTGGATGTAATGTAGTTTCATTAAATTTGTGTCTTAATATGAATTTCTTTTTATTTATTCTGCTTGAGATATGTTGTGATTTCTGTATCCATTGATTGATATCTTCATCTCTGAAAAATTCCCATCTTTTTTCCCCAAAAAATTTGTATTCCATTTGCTGTCTCATGGGATTCTAACTATGGTATTTAATTAGGTCTACTCATTCTGTTTTCCATGCTTTCATTCCTTTTTCTCTTCATGTCTCGTCCAAGCAGCTCTAACATGCATTTTACTGTTTCTCTCTTTGGCTGCTTCTAATTTGATATTTCAACCATCCTCTGACTCTTCCATTTTAACATATGTTTTTAAAGTGAATAGATCCTAGTTAGTTCTTACACAATATCTATGTTCATTTTGTTGACTTTCTTTTTATATTTGTTCATATTTGTAATTGTGTTTCATGTTTACTTAAGCATTTCATTTGGAGTAATTTTATATCCATCTCTGATCGTTCCCATATCTTAAACAGTTGAAGGCCAAATATGTGGCTTCTGCCCACTTTCCCTTGTGTTGACTTGTTTGTATATTTGGTGATCTTTCATTATGAGTTCATATTTACTTAATAGTAATCCATGAATGAGATTAGTGTGAACTGCTTAAAAAGAATGGACTTTCTTCCAGAGACGATTTTCTGTTGTTTTTGCTGTTACCCAAAGGGTGTTACTAACCAGGGTTCCTGATGGAAAATTCAGGATCAGATCCTATATATTGAGGCTCCCTCTAGCAAGCTCTTAGTCTCTGGATCATATTACTTTATCAGCATTGCCCTAAGAGTATCTTCTATCCTTACTATTCATTGCTTACCCCTTAGAATTTAGCTCAAGTATAAATGTATGTGTGTAGGCATGCATATTGTATGAGACAGGAACAGAGAGAAGATACGTGTGTTAGATTTTAGAGATTGGGACTTGAACATTCTTGTAAAACATGGGAGGTCAGTATTCATTAAAAAGTACTTTTTATTAATGGTCTAGTTTCTTTGTGTTAGGGGGACCCTTTAGAAATTCTAATCTTCTACAAATGTGGAAATAGACACCAGCTACTCTAATTATTACAACAGACCCTATTCTCTTCTCCCTGCAGACTATTCTCTGGCTTTGTTAGATATAGTTTATCAATCAATCATCTAACAAGAATTCTTGAATATATTTCTTACAATATCTGTGCCCTACTGCTAAAATTTAAGTATGAAAATGTCTGCCAAATCTTACTATTTTTTTAAATGATTTAATGCTGCACATTCTGGACTATTCATGTAGAAGTGGGTGGTCTCCTAGTCCCCATTCATTTTTTGTAGTTTTCAGCTTCCCTGATGCACATAAATCATAGTGACATTTAGAAACATAAACTATGAAATGAAAGTGTTCTGACTATTCTGTTGAGTGAAGGGTAAAGATAATAGTGATAGCTAATATAGCTGAATAGTGTTTATATATTGTATACTATATTAAGGTTTTCAATGATTTAACTCTTAATTTTCACAAAAAACCTATGAAGTAAGAACAACTATTCCAATTTTACGAATGAGAATGACTTCCCCAAGGTTGTACATCTTGTATTAACACAAGATTTAGTATTTTATTTTCTCATCTAAAATACATGGGAAAATGATAAACTAAGGATAATTATTAAAGACAAACACAGAATGTTGGTAATAATTATTAGGTTTCCTGCTATACCTTCTTTTGCAGGTACTATTGGTCCACTCTTTGAGCATGTTTTGCAAACTATGTTAAAAAATGATTTTTATCCTTTAAGATAGTGAGATTAGATAACCCTGTGCAGCTTCTTCCACTTCCAGACAAGGGAAGCTGTACCCAATTTGGGCTCATGTACTTTATTCCACATTGACCACTTGAGAGAACCCAATACCAGCTTTAGTGAGTCTAGGCACAAACCATCAACAAGCAGCTTGGTATCATAATGCTATACATTCCCTTCAATTTTTGTTGGTCTTGCCTGTTTATGGGCATTTGAGCATGGTCTCTATTCACATGCAGTGCATATTTTCACAGACCTGTTACATGACTGAAATGATCAGTTTAGAATATATCTTTAAGCATGAAACAAAGTTTGGGTAGTAATGGAGACAACATCATGTTCCAAATATCTCCATGTCCTTAAAAATAAATATATTGGAATTTGAGCCACTTGAGAGATAGAAAATACTAATGAAAGCATGGAGAAGAGCTGAATATTCATTAAAAAATGTGTTCAGTTATAACTTATTCTGACAAAGGTGAAATAGAATATTGACTAAAACTGACTAAAGAATTTCATGTGCAGTGTGACTCATAATTACAGAAAACAATAATTTCCTCATACTTTGGACAGAGGACTGTTAAAAAAAAGAATTTTTATTTATTTATTTTCTTCCTTGCTTTTGGTCTTAATTATAAATGCTCTTGTGGGGGGAGGGGAAGGGGCTTATGCCCACGTATGTTTTTTGACCATTGGGTCAGAAAAAGCAAACCTTTCATTATTGTTAAAACAGGTGTTGACAGCCCTGGCCAGTTTGGCTCAGCGGTTAAAGCGTCGGCCTGCGGTCCGGAGAGACCCGGGTTCGGTTCCCGCTAAGGGCACGTACTTCGGTTGCAATTTGTCCCCGGCCCTGGTTGGTCGTGTGGGTGGCAGCCACTCGATGTGTCCCTTCACGTCAATGTTTCTCTCTCTCTCTCCCTTCCTCTCTCTCCCTCCCACTCTAGCTATACAAAAAATGGAAAAATATCCTCGGGTGAGGATAAAATAAAAACAAAAACAAAAAAAACAGGTATTGACAAATAAACTTATTAGTCTGAATTTTTCCAGCATTTTTAGATTCTTCAGTTTAACCTCTATTTCTTTTAGAGCACAACAAAACCTAATTTTTATGTTATTTATCTTAAATGCTGTGAAAAATGTCTGTTTTTAGTTTTCATGAATAAAAGAATATGTAGGAGTAGAGAGTTAAAACAAACAATGCAATCTACTCTATATTAAGACATTTCTAAATGCAAAAATTTTATAGTAAGAAATTGGTCCTATATGAAAAATGTTTTTATGAAAGGAATCATTGTAGGAGTAGGAAAGCAGATAAATTTGTAAGCAACTATTGAAGGATAGTAATAGCAAAAACCATGATAATATGTTAAATTAAAAAGTAAATAAATGAAACAAAGCTTGGTTGATGGAATATGGATTGTTGTAGTGAACTCTTACTTTAAATTTCTTATTCTAGTTTATTTTTAAAGGACTCTATCAACTGTAATTATTGTTGTCTTTGGTCTTTTGCCAGTCCATGCTATCTTCCTCTTTTCAGCAGCCCATTTACATTGCACATTGTTCTTTATATTAGTGTGCATAGATGTTAGTATACAATACATTTTCCATTGCTGAAATAGTTATAAAATCAAGTGCTTGCAATAATTCTTGTCATAATCATGTTTTAGTTAACATTTATTAAATACCAGGCACCATTATAAGCTTGTAACATATACAGGATGAGACAAAACTAGGTTTACAGTTGTGAGTATACGAAACAGTTTGTTGTTGCATTGTTACTTATTAATATATTTTCCATATGAACATCTATAAATGTACTTTTGCCCCACCCCTGTATTAACTCATTTAATTATTGTGATAATTGAATAATTATATGCTGCCTGAAAACCTAAAAAAATTTAAAGAAAATAGATTATTGTGACCCATGCTATTTTGTTTGTTAGTTTTCTTATCAACTTCATTCGTCGCCTTTCTTATAGTCTACACTAATATGGTCTAAATGTTTATCTTTCCTGCAACAAATATTTTTATTTTCCTGTTTTATAAAAATTGTTTGCTCACCTCATATTTTTGTATTATTTTCTTTATTAAGGGAATCCAAGAACTTGTTTAAAAGACTTCAACTGCAGACAAATTGTTTGTTTTTTCTTTTACTTCATAAAACGTTCATGTACTGTTAACAGCCAGCTCTGCATTCATGTCTAAGTAGTAATACCAACGGCAAATGCTTTAAAATTTAGTTCTTACTTAATGATTTTGTATTTCCCATTTTGATGAAATACAAATATGAAATTTTCCAGGTCTAGCAGAATTAGGTACCCTGTGTGATCCTTTACGGAGTTGCTCTATTAGTGAAGAGAACGGGCTCAGTGCTGCCTTTACCATAGCCCACGAGCTTGGGCACGTGTAAGTACCTTCTGTCGCCTCATTAATATGCCTTCTATCCATTCTATTTAGCGTGTTTAACATTCCACCTTCAATTAAATCATTAGCACCTCTATGTCTTAAAAATATTTTTAGTGTAATTTTTATCCCTGAAATGCTAACTCTGGCTCTTTTGTGATCTATGTTAGGTCAGACAGGCTGCACAGATCAACAGACTAAGCAAAGAACTAGAACTTGGGAATTCTTTTAGTTCATTACTGTATTGGATTACATGACAAGCAGTTCTGGCCTCTGTCTCTTGTTATCCTAGACATGACCAGGTACTGTCCTCTACCATTTTATGGGAGGGCCTGCAGGGGCTCCTGATTATGGGTAGCTCCCAAAAATATTTGTAATACCAACTCGTTTCTTGCCCTTATGGCTCAGAGCCCCAGCAGAGAATGTGGTATGTGGGAATTTCTTAATAATTAAAAGATTTTTGAAAACTTTTCCTTCCAGATTCATATTTCTTTATTTTTGGTAAAAGTTTGAGATTCTCCTATCTGTTCCTACATTATTAAAAATTCTACTGGGGTTCTATGCTGTAAGGATGGAGGCCGTGATTTCCAGTGATACGTTTGGAGCTCCCATGGAAAGTCAGAAACCCCTATACAAACATCCTCTGAAAAATGATTCCCATGTACCCCCAGAACTGCTGGGATTTCTTGGTTAATGGCTAATAAGGAATTGAGGCTTGAGTTGCCTCTTAGTTGGACTACATTTTCTTTTCCTGGTCATACCTTGACATAATTAGAGTATTCAGCTGGAACAATTCCAAGTGGAGATCCTTTTTATTAAACTAGTGCCTCTTCAAATCCCTTTTAGGATGGTTATATCTCATGAGCATCAGCAAGGTGCACACTCAGATTTTTAAGTTGCTTCTTGAAGTGGGGGATAGGATCAGGAACATAACTGAGGGTCATAGATGCATTGCAGCAGCATCCAAAGACACTATTTGCTGGTTTAGAAGACTTCTTGCAGAGAACACCATCTTAGACATTTATTTTCTTCCTGAGAAATTCTTTAGGTGTCTTTAGAATATGGGTAAGTAGTTTACATAAAAGACTGATTTAAGTAAAAACTTCAGCCTGCAAGGTATTTTCAGTGTTCCTTTTCACTATGTGTGTGTAATTGGATCCTCAAAAGAACGCATAGAATCTGTTGCGTTATTTAAATAATTAAATAAAATTATTTAATATTGCTCTTGTTGTGAAAATTTGGTTGCCTTTTAGGAATGGTTTTATTATTCCATTCTGTTGGTCATCGCTTACTAAATATAGACTAGAAACTTAGGCTCTTTCATATAAAATAAGTGAATATTATGGGATGATATAGAATTAGTGATTAAAGAAGTCCCTTTTTAAAAAATATTGAATTTATTGGGGTGACCATACAGGTTTCAAGTGTACAACTCAATAAAACATTATTATGATGACCCCAAGCAAAGTGTCTTCCATTCCCGTTTTACCCCCATTTGCCCACCTCCACCTAGCCCCCACTCCCCTTTTCTCTGGCTGTTCCCTTACTGTTGTCTGTGTCTATGTCTTATGCATATATGTTTCTTGGCTAATCCCTTCACCTTCCTCCATCTAGCCCCCCACGCCTCTGACTTTTCAGTCTGTTCCATGTATCCATGCCTCTGTATCTATTTTAGTTGTCAGTTTCTTTTGTTCATTAGATTCCACACATAAGTGAGATTATATGGTATTTGTCCTTCTCTGACCGGCTTATTTCAAAGAAGTCCTGTTATACTGTACCAATAATCAGTGGTCTGGAATTCAGTGCAGTATTGCTTTACCTAATCTTTCCACACATCTAAGATATGCATGTTGAAAACTGCTAGTATTTTTATGTGAATACTCCGTCCTTATTGCGAGGAGGTGAGCAAGAATCCAAATATTTTGATTGTTTATATTCAACTATCATGTTAACAGACTACTACTGATCAAAGTTATAATCTAGTGTTTCTCAAGAGATTCTGTGCTTCTTAACATAGAGGTAACTCAGTTTTATAATGCTGTATGGAGAGAGGTAGAGTACAAATTCTGATGTAAACAGACTTATCTACATTTTACATTATAATATAATACAAATATAAGAGATTTGTTACTGCCCTGGCTGGTTTGGATGAATCATTGGAGTGTTGGCCCATGGAACAATAAGTTGCAGGTTCGATTCAGGTCAAGGGCACGTACCTCATTTGCAGTTCATCCCTGGCCCTGGTCAGGGTCGTGCAGGAGGCAACCAGTTGGTGTGTCTCTCTCACATTGATGTTTCCTTCTCTCTCCCTCTCACTTCCTCCCTCCCACTCTATCTGAAGATAAATGGAAAAATGTCCTCGGGTGAGGATTAAAAAAAAGTGAGAGATTTATTATGAATGGTGTATAAATATTTTAGTATTCTTTTTTAAGTGTCTGTTTTTATTTTTAGATTTAATGTTCCACATGATGATAGTTTTAAATGTAAGGAAACTGGAATCAAACATCAATATCATGTGATGGCTCCAACTTTAAATTACCACACAAGTCCTTGGACCTGGTCAAAATGTAGTCAGAAATATATCACTGAATTCCTAGAGTAAGTTTGATTTTATGTTACTTTAGTAAAATCATTGAACATTTTTTAAATTTGAAATGTGTATGTTCTTTTAAAGTGATTCAATTTCTGATTAGTTTTTTGTTTAAATTTAAGTTTACATTCACTGTACAAATGGATGTTTAAAAACATGGAAAGAGTCGTTTGCATTTCACTCTTAAAAGTTGTTTTGAGGCTTTATAGTTCAGATCTATCTAGCATTTGCCTCGCCATTTACGACTTTTCTAAGTTCTTTAAATATATTATGTACTCTAATAACAATTTTCAAGGCAGGTATTATCACTCTCAGTTTACGGATGAGCAGATTTGGGGCTGTGGGCAGCCGTGCACCCTGGGAAGTGGTGGGATCGAAAGCGGACTCCCAAACCTGCATTCCTGACTGTTATACAACTTTCTTAAAAACCTCTTTGAGGTGGAGACAGCATAGTGCTGTTTGAAATTCCTTTGCTTTGTTATAGTTTAGAACTAGAAATGTATTTTCTCAAATGATTTGAAAACTTGTTTTTATTTTTGCATTTTGACTTTCTTTTTTTTTTGACATTAGGTATGAGGCATTACTATTGGATATCAAAGTAGACCAAAACTATCAGGATATTAACATATGACTATTCATAAATTATATTCTGATGGCTTTGTCTTTTTTCTTTTTTTAATTACCTTCAAGGCAGTAGTAGGACCCAAGAGAGAACAAACACATAAGAAATCCTTTGTAAACTGTGAGGTTTTCTTACTGACTTTAATTTGAGCTGGGTTTTAAATTATAAAAAAAACACTGATATTCTCTTTGGAATGCAGAACTACAGAAAATGTGATGGAGAATTTTATACTGACATGTATCTCTACATAGTCACAATATTCTATTTTCTGTCATTATACAGTACTGGTCATGGGGAATGCCTCCTTGACAAACCAAATGGGAGAATATATGATTTGTCCTCACAACTTCCGGGATTAATGTATGATGTAAACAAGCAGTGTGAACTTATGTTTGGTCCTGGATCACAAGTGTGTCCCTATTTGGTAAGAAAAATGTTGTCTTTTAGTTTGAAAAGTTGGTTAGAATATATTTCAAAGTGTGTATTCTTTTGAAAAGAAGGTAAACTAAAAATATCTTAAACGTTTTTAAGTGTTAGAAAAATTTGGTATTTGTCAGAAAGGGGTTTAGAAAATGCAAAACTAAAATTCATTGAGTGCTTATTCTACGCCAGGTACTCTGTTAGGAACTTAAAAATTATGTTGAACTTTCACAAAACCCTATGAAATATTCCCATCTAGAAACAAAGCCACAGAGAGGTTTTGAAAACGAATGGGATTTCAAATTCTATGATTTGGGGGATGGGGGGAGAAAATTATGTGAGATAGTTTTATATTTTGATATTGAGTTCTATAAAGGACCCAGCAATATAACAGACTACATTTTAATTTACATAGATTGGAATCAAAAGGAATGAACTTTGGGCATGTTTTTTAGTTTTCATTAAACTATTTATAAGTTATTTTGGGAATTTTTCATAGGCGAGATAGAGTACTAGGTTGTGAGAACCATTGGACCAGAAATGCAACCTTATCTACTCATTTAAGATAGACCCCAGTGTTCAGTGAAGGATCTGCCACCTACTAGGTGCCGAGAAAGAAATGCTTGTTGTATGTTGAATGAATGAATAAAAGTTACTTAACAGTGAGTGTAGGGACATACATACTACACACAGTGAATATTGTTCCTAAAATCTTAAATTCATTGTCACAGATTTTAATAAGCCTTTAAACATCCACTATGGAGGGGGGAAGATTTACCTTAAATTTTTACATAGAAGATACATTTTTTTCTTCTTTCTTTCTACCTAATTTAGACACTAAATAAACTCTGAATTTAAATTCAGACAAAGAGGTATTATCTTGGGTAGAGCTCCTGTGAGTCTCCATGGATTTCTGTTTCTTGTGAATACTTCAGAACCCTTTGTTCAAAAGTTGAAAGTCTACATTATATTCACAAAATAGTATACATTATACAGTATTTCTATGCACATTATTCATACATTCCACCATGGGATCAAAGGAGGCTTTTGGAGACTCCTTGTGAATAACATTTAACAACAGAAAGCCCTTTAGAAAAATGTCTTGCAAAAAGAGAAAAATGTCTCACATAATTTTGAATATTTCCACTCCAATTCATCTCTTCCACTGTTCAATGTTTGATGAAAGTCTAAAAGTTTGAAAAAACAAAATGCTGCCATTTTATGTATTTAAAGGAAAATCAATGGCTGGTACTTAGTGAAGATTTTTTTGATGATTATTTCCAGCTCTAACTGAAACCAGGAACTATATAAGATCAACTTATGAACTAAGGCTTTACAGTGCCTTGAGCCAGTGGTTGTGGCACTAGGTTGACTTGCCTGCCTTCTGTTGCTCTGCAGAAACAGTGCCGGCGTCTCTGGTGCACGAGTGCAGAGGGCGTTCACAAGGGCTGCCGTACTCAGCACATGCCTCTGGCAGACGGAACAAACTGTGGTCCTGGGATGGTAGGTTTTCTCCAAGGGTGAGTCCTGTATCGAGAGATTATCCCAGGATGTGGTTGCTCTGCATTTATCATGTGCTGTCAACTTGTGTTCTGCTAGTTGATTTAATATTATTGCCATGATTTTATGAGGCAGTATGGTGTCTAGCAAATTAAAATTATGTCACCCTTTTTCAAGACCTAGCATATGACTATTAAAGTTACATATAGTTGTCATAAAAGCAAATACATATATAATATATATAGTTATCTAAGTATATTATAGTTTTGTTATTAAAAATGAGTATAGACATACAGTCCTACTATTTCAGCAAATCTCCAAATCCAAGGATGTTACCATTTCATACATTTTCTCCCATAAGATTCAGTTAAGTGGAACTTAAAGTTTTAAGTGTCTCTGTTGGATTTCATTGGTTCTAATGATATCAAAATACATTATATTTTCACAGTAAACTGTCTACCATTGTACATTTTGCATTCTACTATCACTCATGAGCTTATGTAAATCTGCCAGTATGATGCCGAGTGTCAGAGCTTACCGTGATAATGGAACATGTTGTATGTGAAGGTGAAGTCAGTGTACTTGGTACTCCAGTGTGAAGTTGAGTTCTTCTGGGTTTGGTAGTGAGTGTTGTCTATACTGCACACGTTTTAATCTGTTAGCCTCCTCTGAGCTACCCCAGTGCAAAAGGAATACCTCTTGGCAATGGGTTGGCCAGTGCTGCCTAAGCTCACATTAGGCAAAAGTTAAAACATAGAGTTGAGTTCAGTGCACTCGCTGAAGATGTGTCTTTACCACCTGTTGCCTCATTGAAATGTTTGTACCAGCTCCTGCCCTTTCCTTGCATCAGTTTTCCATCCAAAGGTATGTGTTTCCCGTGAATGTCACTCACATCACAGATGAGTTATTGAAGTTTTATTTAGAACTTCTTGCAGTATCTGAAGTACTCATTGAAACTGTTTTGCATTCAAATTATTTTAATATCAAAATTCTAGTGGAATTTTTAGCTCATTGATTGAAGCTGGCACTGAATTTTAAAATCTGAACTTTATTTAAAATTTATATTTTGAGAGTAAGAACTATTAAAAAGACTATTTTTTTTTTACTTCTTGTGACTAGTACTTGTAATTGGCTAATTGGTTTTTTTTTTAGACGGAGGTAGCATTTGTGAGAGTTACTGACTCTCTGAGCGTTAGCAGAGAAAAAGACCTCTCTGAAGTGTGAATACTGGGCTGTTGATATTAGAAAGATGTACTCCAAGACATTCATGTGATTCAAATCTAGGATTGGGCCTTAGTGACTTAGCAAATATTAAAGTAACTACATCCCATTGACCTTCAGGCTTGATTTCATGTGGCTAAAACAGTAATTAATATATTTATAAACTAAAAGAGATACACTATTTATAACTCATTCATCGAGCAGTCTAAATCCAGTTTGCACATAAACATTTTTTAAATTAAGATATGTATAGGAATAAAATGTACATCTCTTCAGCATACAGTTTGATAGGTTTTAGCAAATATAGATGCACACACAGCCAACTTCCCTATCAAGAAAGTTCAGTCTTGACTCTTTGTAGACAATTTCTCTTCTCCCCAGAGACAGCTCCTGTTGATGTTTCTATCTCCATAGATCAGTCTGTCTATTCTTGATTTAATATAAATGAAACTATACAGTATACCCCTTTGGGGGTGGAGATTGGGTCAAGCATCTTTTGGTCAACATAATGTTTTTGTGTTTCACCCATATTATTGTATACATCAGTACTTCATTCCTTGATGTTGCAGTATAATTCAACTGTACAAGTGCACCATAATTTGTTTACCCAGTCTCCTGTTAGACATTTGGATCATTTCCAGTATTTGGTTGTTATGAATAAAGCTGCTATGAGCATCCTTGTACAGGTCTTCTCATAGACTTATGTTTGCATTTCTCTTGGGTAAATACCCAGAATAGAATTTCTGGGTCATAGGGTAGGTGTGTGTTTAACTTCTTAAGAGAGTGCCAAACAATTTTCCAAAATATGTGTACCATTTTAGATTCCTATTAGCAATGTCTGAAAGTTCCAGTTGCTCTGTCTGCATTCTTTGCCAATTTTTGATATTGTGAATGTTTTAACAAACTTTTAGCTATTCTAGTGGGTGTAAAATGGAATCTTATTGTGGTTTTAATTAACGTTTCACTGATTGTTACCAACCTTAGGAATCTTTTCATGTGCTTATTAATCATTTGAATATTTTCCCTAATGACGTGGTATGGTGGGCATGGATTTGTTGGAAGTAAGGTAAATGTGATTAGATACTGAGACCTACCTTAAAGCCCTTGTAGATTGAAAGCAGAGGTGGTGTTTGAGGTAACTACAAGTTGATCATGATAGATATAAATTCCCTTTTTTAATTAATTGAAAGTAGTGAGCCCTTATATTACATTAACATTAGCAATGTGCTGTACTAAATGGATTTTTTATTCAAAGGAAATTTTAAACACACGTTCTATAACTTGGCCTGAACACTCTTCTTTAATTCATGTATCTTGTGACTATCTTACATGTGAGACGGTCTGTTTAATTATTTTGTTAATAAATCTATTTTTATGAAAACATGGTGAACCCATCTGACAGTGAGTTGATTTTATTATCTGTTGAATACTATAACATTTTATCTTTTTTGTGCTCTGATATCTCGGACACACACACACACACACACACACACACATAGGAGTGCATGCAGGTATTATTGAAATGTTTCTGGAAGATGCTAACAAAATTTACATGCACATAGTATAGTCTATTCTAACATTTAATTTTTGTTCACCTCTATTGTGGCTTTCTTATATTGAATGATTTGTTCTAATGGAGGGCACAAGGCATTTTTTCTTCTAGTAAAATTGCCTATAGTATTCATTCAACAAAGATTTATTAAGGGTCTGCTATACAATCAACTTAGATCAACTCAAGATTTTTAAGGGGTAGGGCAGGAGTTTGATTTGGGGTTTCTGTGTGTGAAATGTTTATTAGATATTCAATGAAGATGAGGAAGCAGTTGTATATGGAGTTTGGAGGTCAGGAGAGAGATCTGGGCTGGGAGTGATCGTTGATAGAGAAGAATAAAGGTCCAGTATCTGAGCCTGGGGACATTCTATTGTTAAGAGGTTGGAAAGAAGAAGACCCAGTAGAAGAAACTGTGAAAAGCTAATCATTAAAGAATGTCAAGAATGTGGAGCCCTGGGAATTAACAGAAAAATAATATATCAAGAATAATAATTAGCTATGTTACATACTGCTAAGTCAAGGAAAACTGAGACTGAGAACTGGCTATTGATTATATGTTGTGGAAGGACATCGGAGATTTACACATAAGCCATGGAGGCTAGGGTATAAAAGCTTGGCTAGGGTGAGGTTATGAGAAAATAGGTGAAGAGAGTTAGACAATGAACATAAACAACCCTTTCAAGGAGAAACAGTACAGTAGCTGGTGAGGGAAGTGTTATCTAAGAAAACTTGGTTTTTGTTTTGATTGTTGTGGGTGGTTGTTAAAGGGGGAGAAAAAAAAAAAAAAGAGTGTGTTTATATATTAATGAGAATATTCTAGTGGAGTATTTTTAAACTGTCTCAAGTAAAGGACCAGTCTTTTTAAAAAACTTTTTCAATATATTTTGTACAAAATGATACAATGATTGACTAGGAAAATGAAACGAAAGAAGACATTAAAAATGTAAGCCAGATTTTCCTATGGCAAAAAAATTGTGCTTCCTCAAAACAATTAAAAATGCAATTATCATATAACCCAACAATACTACTTCTCAGTATGGCTCCAAAAGAATTGAGAACAGGGTCTTGAAGAGATATTTACACACTCATGTTTGTAGCAGCATTATTTATAGTAGCCAAGAGGTGAAGCAATCCAACTGTCCATCAACAGATGAGTGAATAAACAATATGTGGTATTTATGTACAATGAAATATGATTCAGTCTTTTTCAAAAATTCGATTTATTGGAGTAACATTGGTTAGTATAATTCTATAGGTTTCAAGTATACAATTTTATAATACATCATCTGTATATTGCATTGTGTGCCCACCACCCAGATACAGCCTTTTTTAATAAAGGAAATTTTGGCACATGCTACATGTGTGAACCTTGAAGATGTTATGCTAAGTGAAATAAGTCAGTCACAAAAAGATAAATACACTATTATTTCAATTATATGAGACATCTAGGGTAGTCAAACTCATAGAAACAAAGTAGAATGGTGGTTGCCAGGGGCTGGGAGGAAGGGAGAATGAGAAATTATTATATGATGGGTGTCCAGCTTCAGTATGGGAAGATGGAGATTTCAGTTTGGTTAGATGGTTACACAACAATGTGAATGTACTTAGTACCACTGAACCGTACACTTAAAAATGGTTAAAATGGTCAACTTTATGTTACTTAAAATTAAATAAAACTAAAACAAATATAAGCTGATATTTACATTATTAACTTTAACCAACATAAAATTACTCTGTAAAACTTACAATAAATGCTGACTCTCAATTTCTGTACTCATCTCCTCACAGGCTGACAGTGTCTAGTTCATGGACAGCAGTGCATGAACCACATTCGCTTTCATGTCATAGAAACGAGAACAATGATGATGTAGGGGAGTTGAGAGAATTGCTGAGTGATGTTTTGAGTAGTGAGAAGGGCAGAGATTAAGTGGATAGGTGGAGGGATTGACTTTGGCTAGGACCCTGGATTTTTCATGTATACAAATAGGCTGGAAGGCTGAGTGCTGGACACAGATGCTGATGGGTGGGTAGAAGGGGTGATGGGAGATCGTGGCAGAGTCTTCTGTAAGTTTCCATTTACTTGTAAGTAAGAAACAAAGTGATTCTGGAGACTTTGGATGAAGGAGAGTAGCTGAAGAACGAGAGAGTGATACATAACTATATCAAAACCGTGCATGGTTATATACTGTATTAATCTGATATTTGCTGTTTAAAAAATACTTTTGATTTTACTAAGTTTTTCCATATGTATAGGTCTTCCCTCTCCTGAGGAGTCTCTAAATCTCAAAGGCAAGGGACGTTTTTTATTCTTTTTGTGTTACATAGATCTTCTTACAATTCCCCAATAGAAAATCAATAAATATTCATAACATGGCATTAAATATAATCATATCTGAATTAACATTTTACTGTAAATTGTATACACTTTATTGTTCTAGTGATCTTTATGCTGCGATTATAGTTACTGTGGTGTTCTGACTAGATGTACACGAATCACTTCTTTTTGTTACTTTTCTAGCATTGCCACCATGGGCTATGTGTAAACAAAGAAATGGAATCACGTCCTGTAGATGGTGAATGGGGACCATGGGGACCTTACAGTTCTTGTTCAAGAACATGTGGAGGTGGAATCAAAAGCACAACCAGGCTCTGTAATCGCCCCGAGTATGTCTATTTTATGTCACTGTAAATTAAGATTATCTCAAGGCACCAGAAACTAAACATCAGTTTCATTCACTTCTAAACTGGAGGTCAGTCTGTAAGTTTCTGAGATTCAGAAAACTTCTGGAACACTTTAAGCCATATTATTTCATATCCTGGTAGATTCAGACCTTAAAAATAAATGAATAGATAAAAATAATCTTTAGAATCAGAGTTCAGACAGGGCCATTATTATTTTTTTTTCTAATTTAGTATGAATTTGACAAATAGTTATAATGACAGTAGTATAATGGCCTTTTTTTTTTTTTTTAACATTTACTGTGCTTCTGTTGAAAGCTACTTTCTCCTTTTAGCCATGTTTTGGCTCTCCTGAACAAACTATATAGTTTCATTACCAGTTTTTTACTGTTTTGTGTAATTTGAAAAGTCCTATTTCCTTTCTTTGGTTCTTACATTATAGATGCATCCATGTCTTTAGCTTGAATAAGTAATGAAGCATATTTCCTCTCATCATTATTTCAAAGAACTTAGAGATTCCATAAAGATTCTAAAATAATGTTTCTGTTATGTAATATATAAATTGTTAAGCAATATGACACTTTTCACTTAACCCCTATTAGCAAGAATTTTTACTACAGAAATGTGACATATTTTTAATAAAATCTGAGTTAATTAGAACTTATCATAATTAAATTATGCTAGGAATCTTCATATTAAAAAATGCTGAGACGTTTTTATTTTCCAGCAAAATTTGAAAGAGAGATGAATGGCTATAGTGTGATACCATGAAACTCTTTGAACTGAGTGCTAAGTAGGATAAATAGGATAAAGACTCATCTATATTCCTTCTTTTTAAACGTGGTATTATCTTTATCATCATTGACTACTATGTTATATATTCCAGAATATGCACAAACCGTTTTTTGAAGTTTTAAAACAAATTACCATTATAGGTCCTTGTTAGTTAATCAAGTCATGAGTAAGATGCATTTCTGCCCTCCAGGCTCCGCATCCACTAAGATGGATATTTTTAGGTTATTAGCCATGGAGTTGCTTACAAACCATGTTCCACACTTCTGTGGTATTCAAAGTGTTAGTGGGACACCCTGGAAAGGAATGGAACAGTTTTAGAGGTAAATGGCAGAAATAATATTATACTGATGTGTTAAAATGTATTGAATTTGACTAGGCCAAGAAACGGAGGAAAGTACTGTGTGGGCCGCAGGATGAAATTTCGATCATGTAACACTGATTCATGTCCAAAAGGCAAGCAAGACTTTCGTGAGAAGCAGTGTTCTGATTTTGATGGTAAACATTTCAATATCAATGGTCTTTCCCCGAACGTGAGATGGCTTCCAAAGTACAGCGGGAGTAAGTAATCGGAATCTTTTCTATGTGATTTTTTTTTGAGACACCGTTGTATTGTTGTATGACAAAAATTTTACATTTTCTTAACAGTTGCCATAAAAGATCGCTGTAAGCTCTATTGTCGGGTTGCTGGAACCACTAACTTCTACCAGTTGAAGGATAAGGTTGCCGATGGCACCCCTTGTGGAACTGAAACTAATGACATCTGTGTTCAAGGCCTGTGTCGGGTAAGTGAACTCACACGTAATGTGACTTTCGGAAGACTGTTACTTCTGTTATGTCAGAATACATATGATGAGCACACTCTCTCCAGGAGTATCGTTAGGAGACTTTGTTTGCTAGGTGATTGTCTGCCATCAAGAGTAACTCATGAAGCATTAAGGTAAGTCTGCCAATTTTGTTTTGTGCATGGTACTCAAAATCAAGGTAAGGGATGAGGTCAACTTTCTAAAATGATAAAAAAATATATGAGGACACAAGGGTTGTAAAGTCCCCTTATCCTTCAAATGTGACCTTTTGTAGTGACTTTTTCTTACTCTCTCCGTGTTAGAAGCTGTGATATCCTCCCTCTTTCCATTCTTGCATATACCTAAGAAATAAGAGACATTTACTGAGTACCTACTAGATGCCAGATAAAAGGATGGAGCAGAATACTGACCTCCAAGGTGGTCACGGATTTGTGAGGGAGATAGGCAGGTAAACAATTATAATGCAGTGCAATGGACTCATCTGCAAGGTGGCTTATGGATATTGAGGAAGAAATATCTTATTTTGGGGGAGGTGTGTAAAGGATTTGAAGAATATTCATGGAGGGTGTGAAGCTTGAACTAATTATTGAGAATGAGTAGGTTTTAGAAAGGTGAGGCGGTGAGGGGCCAGGGTTGAAGGTAGGGGCTATCTGGTGGTGGTTCTATGTACTTTTTCCCTAACGTCCTTGTAGATCCTTCGAAAGATTTGGAATTGAGCAAGAGATGTGATTTGATTTGCATGTCAGAATCTTCAGACTGTACTGGGTTAGAAGAAGACTGGAGATAGGTGAACCATTTAGCAGGATTCTAGGCGAGAGAAGAGACCTTGAATCCAAGCACACATGTTATACTTTGCGGTCTTAAAAATGGGTGATGAATTTGAAAACGAGGATAGTGGATAAGAGATCTTTCTTTCCTATAGCTGCATCGTACTCCATTGTGTATGGAAGGACCTGGAAAGCATTATCCTGAGTGAAACAAGCCAAGCAGAGAAAGACAAATATCACATGATCTTACTTATTTGTGGAATATAATGAACATAACAGTCTGAGGAATAGGGTAGACCCAGAGACGTGGAAGTAGAGTACAGACTGACAATCCTCAGAAGAGGGGATGGTGGAGGGAGGGAAGAGATAAACCACAGAACTTATATGCATGTACGCATAACCAGTGGACATAGACAACAAAGCTGGGGAAGGGGTGGGGGGAGGGGGGAGAGGGTGTCAATGGGGAAAAAAAGGAGAAACATCTGTAACAAAAATAAATTAATAAATGTACAAAGCAAAAGCAAAAATAAATAAATTAACTAATTAAAAAAAAAAAAAAAAAGAAAAAGAAAACCAGGATAGTGAACACTGTCTAAAAAATACAAATGTAATTTTATAAACTCGTTCTTTTGGTTAAGTGGAACTTAATAGGACGAGGTTCTTATCTATTACCAGTTATCCAGGTAATAAAAGGCATTACACACAAAGTTCTAAAAAGATATTCAAAGGAAGTTCAAGTAACTCACACATTGGAAATGTCTTAAATACTAGAAAAAGGGTACTTAGTAGCCTGAAAAACTTGTTTTATCTATATTAACAGCAGAAAGTCATATAAAATGAAAAATATTTGATTATCTGAACATATAGATGCATACTACTTTCAGCAACTATCTGGTTGAATTTTTTATTTTGGAAAGACTTGCCTTGTATATAAAAATTCATGTGGCTTATGAAATTTTCTTCTTTTTCTGATCACTAAATTTAGAATAGTCATCCAGAAAACTAAAAGTTACTGCTTGCATATGCAGAAGACACTGTCTGCACTTGTTCTTTTAAACCCCTGGAACAAACCATTTACTTTCATTTTTATTTATGTATTCATTCTTTCCATAAACACTGTTTATTATGGTGGATATTAATTGTGGAGAAATAAACTGTTTCAACTGTACTAGGTTTATTCCAAGAGTTCCAATGTTCTTTAAAAAGAAAATGAATCACGAAAGACATCTTTTTGGAGTTATTAATTTTACCTCCCACTTGAGGATATGTTTTTATTGACTTTAGAGAGAGAAGAAGGGAAAGAGAGGGGAGGAAGGGAGAGAGATGTTGATGTGAGTGAAACATTATTGATTGGTTGCCTCCTGTATGCACCCTGACTGGGGATTGAACCCTCAACCTAGCTATGTGCCCTGACGGAATTAAATCTGCAACCTTTTGGTATACGAGACAATGCTCCAACCAACTGAGCCACCCAACCAGGGCTGGAGTTATTTTAATGTGTTACTTACATGGTCATACTTTTTTGTCCCTTTTGAATGACATTTATTTAAAGAGTGGTTTTCTTTTTCTTATTATTAAAAAATTTTAAAGTTGACATTATTGTGGGTGTTCCCATCCCACCCCGTGCTTTGCCCACCACCACCCATCTCTACCTCCCCACCCTCCCACCCCCCAATTTCAAATGATGGATATAGGAATCACTGTCATTGTTTGTTACAATGTGGATTCCTAGGTTTAACGTCCAAGATTTTCATTCAGAAAATCTGGGATTCTGACTTTTTAAGTGCCACCTCATGTGATTTGGATTCAGGAGGTATATGGATGACTCTTTGAAAAGCACTGCTTTTTCAACCATGTGAACAGATATGTGAAAATATTGATATATGAAAAGACCAATGAATATTATGAAAAAAATCCTGCTGTATCAAATCTATTAATTGAAAGAATGAAGAAAACTTTGTAAAGCACCATGGTTATCATCTGTCATTTTATAACATTGATTTTAATTGTATTTTGAAGCAAGCTGGCTGTGATCATGTGTTAAACTCCAAGGCCAGGAGAGACAAATGTGGAGTGTGTGGTGGGGATAATTCATCTTGCAAGACAATGTCAGGGGTCTTTAACAGCGCTCATTATGGTAAGCTGTGTATTTGCTTCTAGTGTTCCCTTTTATTTGGTGTAATAATGGTGTATATAATGAAGATTTAATAGTGATGGTTTGTTACTGTTTTATCTACTCTATACCCTTAGTTAAAAATGAGTGTTAAAGAAAATTTTCCTAAATATAAAAGATTAAATCTTATACCAGGTATATCCTTGAATTAATGAATTCACCTGCTCAAGACAAATCCAGTTTTTAAAATTTATTAGGTGCATTTATTAGAGTAAATCCACTATTTGACAATGATGTGTGAATAGTTCCCCCAGTTACTGATGTGCTCTTACTGCTTTTCCTATAATCTCTAATGTATGTATTTATAATTTTTTTCAGGAAACTTGCTTTTAATTATTTAGTATTTGAACCAAACTTTTTTTTTTTTTTTTTTTTTGTATGACTTGGTCTATCTGTTATGTTTCTTGTTGGTAACATATTGAAAATATTGATTGAAGATGAAGGATGAAACCATAAAATTAAATGTGGATTTGGAATTATTATTACACTTGATTTTCCAGGAAGTATCTGGATTACAAGATGTATTTGATATTTGACTATGGTTTTATTTTTCTTCAAAATTGTTAGGAGAATGTAGCAGATATTTTCCATTCAAATTTTTCTGGGAAACATTTTTGTTTTTGTTTTTTTCATGGTAATAAAAGCAGTCCTTTAAAAATTTCCTTGCAAAATAAAAATGTACTTTTACAGTTTTACTGTTCAGCTTTAAATTATATTCACATGTGTTCGAGCACAGTTAAGTATGAATTGCTTCAATTAAAGTAGTATATTTTAAAACAAGATTTACATTTTTATTTATATTAAAAGTATAGTACATTTTGTACTATGACGATACTTACAAACCCTAGTTACTAGATGATCTGACTTATTTTTCTAATTGTTATGATTCATTATTTCATGGGAGCCATACATAGTTGATCCCTTTTTATAACCAATGGCACACGTTTATCAGTCTGATCTGTATTCAATGAAGAACATTTTTTTGTATAAAACCACATGCACCAAATTAAGATAATACATTTAACCTTGCCAAAGTTGTACTAGGAATTAATCAGTTTGTAACTGGAAAAAGATGTTAAATTCATTTCCATGGTCTGAATGGCTTTTATCACATCACTGCCCCCTGGCGGTAGCCTTCATCTTGTCACTTTTGCCATGGCTAGGAATTGGCTTTCTTGATAAATACGTAATAGCAAAGACAAATAGTGAAGGTTGTAGGAATATTTTATAGAAAAAACATTATTCTTGTAGACTTATAGTCTGTGACCATATCCATATAGTTATGCGGAATCATTAGACCGTCACCGAATATTTAAATGCGATGCCTTAGAGAGAGGTAAATAAGGGTGCTCTAAAACCATGCGAGGTAATTTCATATTGGAGTTGCAAACTTAAGCTCTTTTAAACTTCCTCCTCTTAAATTCATTCCATATTTATCAAAGTTAATGTACAAGAAAAATTTCAACTTCTTTTATTCATGTATTAAATAGAAGGGAAAATCCTGGAAGGGAAAGGAAAAACTTAGAATTATTATCACTGGAGCAAATGAGTATATTTGGACAGCTATGAAGCATGTAACATGAGTATTTTTAGCATAGGGAAAACTTTCCGTTCTTTCTTAATATATATTTAATATAGTGTTTCCTCATTTTTTAAGCAGTGCCAGTGTTGGTGAATTAGGTCTCGTAAAATAGAAATGTTATTTTCATTTCTCTCAAGTAAATGTTTTACTTTTCTCTTGACAATTTGTTAGTAGACTTAAAGAAATAATGTAAAAATGTGGGGGGTAGCTAGAGGGATTTCTGCTTATGCTAGAAACTAAAAATTTAAGAAAAATATGCTTCTCATTAATTCACATTATTTTGCTCTTTACTAAGTCTCTGTGTATACATATAGCCATGACCAGCTATTTTGATATCTTCTGGATTTGTGAATAGCATTTGGAACACTGTATTTAAAAAAACATTGGGAAATATAAAAAATAATAGTCAAATTTAAATACTGGATATGTGTATTAAATATCTCAGGAGCTAACACATTAGCTTAATTATTATTCTATACTCAAATTTTAGAAGTAAGAAAAATTAGGAAATGTACTTTAAGAATTTCAAACTCTGTGTGTTTCTAGACAACAACCACTTTTTCTCAATTCTTGGTAATTCGTATAAGGCATTGATTGGAAAAGAATAAGCACTGGTGTCATTTATCAACGATAAGGTGAAATTAAGTCTGAATATACTTTCGAACTGTTTCAGTCATACAGCAGTAATAGCCTCTGGACCATCTGTTTTTGTGAAAGTTAACATGTATAAAATTATATTGCAGGTTATAATGTTGTTGTAAAGATTCCCGCAGGAGCAACAAACATTGATATCCTTCAGCACAGCTATTCTGGAAAACCAGAAGATGACAATTACCTTGGTAAACATTTCTAGTAAACAGCACCAATATGTGGTTCGTGTGCGATTTCATGGAGGTCTGCGGTTGATGTAAATTCTTGGAAGGCAAGCAGAGACCCCTGAAAAAACATGCAATTTCAGTCCATACTGAGCTGAATCTCCTTACTCCACATACATTTTTTTTTTTTTCCTGAACAATACACTGTATCCTAGTTGAAAAATATGGAACCAAATTCTGAAAAGTAAATTTGAGTCGTTTTTCCCATACGAGTGTTTTAATAACCAAAGGTTATATTTAGTTAAAGTTGCATGTGTATTTAGAATAAAATCCTCTTCTAGCTTTTCATCTAAAATTTATTGGAGACCTGTTTGGGGTTAGATGGTTTAAAGAATTTTCTTAATTTTTAAAATCATGTAGCAAAAGGTTCTAAATACAATTTTTAAAACGTTTTAAAGAAATACAGAAAAAAACTATGGATTCATATTTTTAGTTATAGTACATTGTCTTAGCTATTTCTAGAGTATAGGTTTCTTTTATTATTTATTTTTAGAAAGTAGCTTTTAGGTTTAAGAAATTTCACTGAGGCCCAGAGATGAAGGGAATGCTTTACAAAATTTTTCCTTCTGCCTGAAAAAGACTTAAAATTGGCTTATGTATAATTCACCAAGTTAGAGTCTGTGGTATAAAGCTGAAATTCAGAAAGTACCTCTTCACATTAATGAAATGTGAAACAGTGGCTTGAATAATCAATGCTCGTAACTGAGGATCTAAATCTATAATGAACAGTTTATCTCAGGAATTGCGTTTGGCATTATGAAGTCAAATGTAAAGGGAACAACTGCTTAATGGATGCAGGATTTTGGGGGGGGAGTGATGAAAGAGTTTTATAACTAAATGGAGGTGGTGGTTATACAACATTGTAAATGTATTAAATGCCATAGAGTTGTTCATTTTAAAATGGTTAATTTTATGTTATGTAAATTTCACCTCTATAAAAAGGCAAAAAAATTTCTCAAAGAAAAGTGTAAATATTGTGATTATCCATTAACATTTAGTTGATATGTCTCTCTTAGGTTCCAAATGTAGATATTTGTATATTCCTAGGAATAGAAACCAGGTTCTGCCCAAGTTTAAAAATTAGAAATGTTCACCAGTGAAGTATCAAAATACATTCTAAGAGAACTGCTAGTGACAATATCAAAATCTAAATTGAAATGAGCAAAATAAACATGAAATCATTAGAGGGGATTTCTAAAACATATGTATTTATAAAATTTGCTTTGGTAACTAAAAGTAGTGAAATGTATACAGCTTTTCTCAGTAAAGTTCTGCTTATTTCTCTTAGTTTGAATGTAACTGATACTCTTAAATAGGCCTATCCACTTTGGCTAAATTGCAGATTTATGCAGAGGAATTTCCATTTTGTAGGATGAATGTAGAACTATATTGGTTCTTCATTGAATTAGTATAATATGTAAAGACAGTCATAACAGTCCATACAGACATAGAAATATCAAATTTATTTGGCAATAAATACTTCTAGGTAGCTTTTTTGTAGGATTTCTTGCAAAGTTTAGCCATAGGTAACTTGTGTACCCTGGGTGGGGTTCCCTGGAAGACCAAACAAATGTTTTCCAAACTGGTGATTGTTCCACTGGGAAATATAAGTACAGCAATAAAAAAGTATTTGATTAATAATGGCTTTTTCATTAGTGTAAAATTTAAAATTGTATATACCCTCTTGAAAATTTAAAAAAGCACAGTGCCTTAGAGTTTATACACAGTAATAGAATGCTTCTCCATGAAAAAGATCTAGACATCTATATAGAGAATCATGTAGTCATTGCATGCCTTTTTGAACATTGACCCTAGAGTTTAAAAAAAAGCCATTGATGACCAGAATTGTTTCAGCTGGTCTTTCTGCTGGGTCCATGGATTCCTTCTGTTTTCCCACTTCCTGTATATCCCTCCTGAAGCTGCATGTCTTGGGGAAGAAGATACCATCTCAGAAGAGTGTAAGGCAAATTTATTTTAATATCTTTAGCCGATGTGCTGAAGTTTCCCTACTTGTGGGTTAGATACCACATTGTAGTAAAATAAAATTTATTACCTCAGTATTAATTTACATTTACATTCTTAATTTCAAAAAAGGATTTGAATATTAAAAGTTAAACACTTTTCTGTGCTGGTGACTGGTTTTGCTGTTTCATGAATACCATTCTTTTACAGCATTATCTGACACTCAAGGAAACTTTCTTTTGAATGGAAATTTTGTTGTAAGTATGTCAAAAAAGGAAATCAATGTACAAGGAGCTATTTTTGAATACAGTGGTTCCAACAACTCAATCGAAAGAATTAACAGTACTGATCGGCTAGAAGAAGAGGTTGTTTTGCAGGTAAATTCTCAGTAGTCGTTAATAAGACTTAGCTTTAATCATATTAGTAAAGTGTGATGGTTAAGTGTTTTGCATTTATTATTGAATACAAAATGATATCTTGTAAGGGTATATTTTTTATGAATTAATTGTATGCTGCTTTTTATTTTTATTGAGGTTTTGTGTGTGGGTAATTTATACAACCCTGATGTGCGTTATTCCTTCAATATCCCGATGGAAGAGAAGAGGGACCTGTTCACCTGGGATCCATATGGGCCATGGCAAGACTGTACCAAAATGTGCCAAGGTACACTGGTATTAAAAGAGACAAAAGTGCCCTGGCCAGTTTGGCTCAGCGGTTAGAGCGTCGGCCTGCGGTCCGGAGAGACCCGGGTTCGGTTCCCGCTAAGGGCACGTACTTCGGTTGCAGTTTGTCCCCGGCCCTGGTTGGTCGTGCGGGTGGCAGCCACTCGATGTGTCCCTTCACGTCGATGTTTCTCACTCTCTCTTCCTTCCTCTCTCTCCCTCCCACTCTATCTGTACAAAAAAAGAAATGGAAAAAATATCCTCGGGTGAGGATAAAAAAAAAAAAAGAGACAAAAGTTTGCGCATGTGGGTATAATTTGGGGCACTTTCGAGTCTGGCTTATACGCTCTGGCAGAATTCTCCCCACTGTCCACACACATGTATACTACACAGACGTCCAAAGCTTTCCTTTCTTACCCCCCTTCCTGCTTTTCTCCCCTGTCATTCTTTCTGTTTCTTGTACTTAACAGCCTCATTGATCTCTACCCATTTCAACATTCTGCATTACCGCTCCTTTCCTTTCTCTTCACGTTTTTTTCTCACAGTCACAGAAAGTTTCTCTAACTGGGATACTGTTTCCCAATAAAATAACTCCCCTCCACACTCTTGCCCGGCCCCGTTTCCTTCGTTTAGTGTCGGAGTACCAGACATGCTTTCATTCTTTCACCTTCATTCTGCGACCACAGGAAGTAGTATTTGTGCTGATGGCCTGAGCCGCTGAAGGCCGCAGAGGGTGGTGGGGCGTTGACCCAGGGAAGGAGCACGCTGGAGTCTGTACTGGTCCGTCATTGCGGGTATTGAGTGTGCAGCGCCGTTTGTTCACATCAGTAGACACGTACTGAGTGAGCGCTTTGTTTCAGGTTATTAATCAGACCCCTAATTCTGCTTTCAAGTTTTAAGTCTAGTGGATGAAACAGCCTGGGTGGATTACCTTAATTTATCATGGTGAAGGCATTGCTGTAGGTAGATGGAGAGGACCCCAGGAAAGGTGGAGGGGGCCGTTTGTGGGGAGATGGAATCTGAAGGAATTGGGAGCTTGTGTGGGATGGACAGGTGGTTGCCATGGGAGCTAGCGAAAGGTTTGGGAATCGGAGGGGCAGTGGGCCAGGGAAAAGGCTACCGAGAACAGGGTGGACACGAGCTGAGGGAAGCAGTGACCACGGGTGATGGGAATGTGAGGGACAGCCTGACAAACTGACCTCGAGGTGTCGAAGGAATTGTGGCATCATCCTGTTCAGAAAAAGGCGCAGCGTTGGTACAAGGGTGCCCGGAATGGCTGTGGGAACCAGGTGCTCCTGCTTGGGCAGGGTCCCGGGGAGGGAGGCGGAGGAAGATGACGCAAGGCCCACTGGGAGAGATGCTGGAGGTAGGGATGAAGAGCTCTGATAACAGGAGGGGGGGATTCATTTTCACAGAAAGACCCTGGATATGCTTTAGAGAAGGGAATGGAGGTTTGGGAGCTAGGGCCAGCTTTTGAGGATTGAGTGGGGTGAGCTGGTGTATGGCCGTGGATGTGGGCAGCTAGGATCAAATCTGTGGAACAAGGGAATGAAGGGACTTTCCAACATGTGGAGAACACAGCAAGCAAAGGAAAACAAGACCCGAAATGAAGGGTTGGACAAGTCGTGGTGAGGTAGTTTGGGAGTCTGAACCCAGAGACATCTCTTCAACAGTTATGTGCAGGGGAAACGGAACTACTAATTCTATTGCCACATTGCGATGCTATGTTCAGTCTCTTTTTTTGCAGGTAAATTTGGTTTCTCTAAAGTTAGATTTCCTCAATTTTATTTGTTTCCTTGTTTTTTTCTGGGTACTGGGTGTTTTTAGTTTTCAAACTGTTGATGAGAACTATACATTTTGTTTATTGGTTTAATCTATCAGTTTAAATTTTTCTTCACTTTTTCTTCATCTCTTGCTACCAGGGTCCTCTTTTCTCTTGTTCGAATTGAGCCTGTTACATGGCTGTCATCATGGGCTTTACTTTCATTATGATCCAGGGAAATCTTTTAGACTTTCTTTTGTGTTGGATTTTCTGTTTTATAAACCCCACGAATTCCTCTTTTTTGATCGATTTCCCCCATTAGGTGGAACATATCCCCTAGTGTTTTCCTGGAAAAGAAAGGTAGTTTTTTGAGACCTTGCATATTTTAAAAAATGGCATTATTCTGTTCTCACACCTGATCGACAGGTTGGCTGGTATAAAATTCTTAGATGACAATGCTGAAAGCTTGAGTTTCAGGCTTGCTTTCTGATTTCCTGTGATATGTTCTATTGTGGAAGTTTTGTGGATTCCCCCTTTAGTTCTGGTGGTGAGAAATGTCAGGACAATGGGCCTTGATTTGGGTGTTTCTTTCATCTATTTTCCTAGGTTATTAGACGCCATTCCAATTTGGAAAGATATCCTTTGACTTAAGAACACTTATCAGATTATTTCTTTGATAATTTTCTCAAGTTAAATTTTTCTTCCATCTTTCCGAAATTTGTATTACTTGGATGCTGAACCTCCTGAATTGATCACTTATTTTCTAATTTCTCCTCCTTATTTACAGTGTTTTCTTAATATTTCTTCTCATACATCTTGCTTTTGTCTCATGGGTGCAATATCCGTGTCTCTGAGAGTATGAGTCATAGCCGGTAAGTTTCCTTTTGCTTCCTGACACACCTGTTTCACTTTAGTTCTCTTTTGGTCTCTTTTGTATTAGTGACTTTCCTGAAGTGTCTGCGGACCCTTTCCTGCTTTTTCACATAAGACTAAGATGCTGAAAGTCCTGCACGGATCAGACAAGCCAAATAGGGGCCTCATCACTGAGTAATTAATTGGATCACTAAGTAGCCTTTCCATGTCATTGGGGAGAAGCCCCAAATGTCATTGTCAGTTGATCTTTCCTCTTGGGAGAATTCCTCTCTTGAGAGACCCTTCATCCCATCTTCTGAAGGTCCCTGAGAGGACCAGGGAACCATAAAAGTTGGCTTGGAGTGACAGGGAAGTGAAGAGAGGCCAGCGGGCCTGTGTGAGGACTTCGCCTGTTTTCAGAGCAGTGCTTCCCTGGCTTCCTCCAGCTGTGCCTGTGACCTCAAGGTCACCTTCTCTGGAGCCGTGGAAGCCACTGGGCACCTGTGGCTAGTCTATAGAAAAGTGCTGTCCATGAAATACATGATGGATTTGGAAGATTAGCATAAAAAACAATGTAAAATGTATCATCAATAATTTCTATATTGATCATGTAGAAATGATCACTTTTGGATATTTAGAGTTCAATATAAATATTAATTTCACCCTTATCTTTTTACCTTTTTATTGTGAGTGCCAGAAAATGTAAAATTACGTGTGTGTAATTTTGGGTGTTTTGGACAGTGCTGCTTTCAACTAGAAGCAAGGTAGGAGTCTAACCATTCTTGGTAAATACTTCTCGTCACTTCTGCCTGTTTTCAGACCTACCCCTCACACGTTCACCTCCTCAGGAACCTGGTGTTTTTTATTCCTGGGCTTCTCTTGGATTCTATAGCACGAGTGGTTTGTTTCTTATTCACTTTTCCCTCTACACAGGCTTAAGTTTCAGCTTTCTTGGCTTTGTTGAACAGTTATTTCCATCCACTTTTCATAATTAGAATTTCCTTTTCTTGCCTACTGCGTTTCCTTTTTTATTCTCTGTGTTCTTATAGGTTTATGCCTTTTCAAAATTCCGTGTAGTTATTTCAGATGGCATTTAGGAAGGAGCGGAGATAAACATGTGTGTTCGTGTTTAGCTGACAGGAAGTATACCCTTGAACTTTGATAAAATAGAAATTTGATCATGTCACTGACTGCTTAAATGCTTTCCTGGCTCCTCACTGCAGAAAGTGTGAGGTTGAATCTTCCTGGCCTGTTATGACCAGGTCTCTCTTGCTGTGGTTATGCTGCACACAAACTCCCACCATATCTCAGGACAGCACAGCCACACTCTGTTTTGGCTGCTTACTTGGCTATGACTCTTCTTTGTTTTGTATCTGTGTCCATGTCATTAAAAAAAAAAAATCAATAGACTTTTTTTCTTAGAGGAGTTTTAGTTTTATAGAGAAACTGAGCAGAAAGTACAGAAATTTCCTGTCATCTCCCTTCATCCGCTCCCCACCCCCATTCCCGTTATTAACATTTTGTATTAGTGTGGCACATTTGATACAATTAATGCATTATTATTAACTAAAGCCCAGACTTTTCATTAGGGTTCATTCTTTGTGGTACACTCTATGAGTTTTGATAAACGTATGATGACATGTATTTACTATTACAGTATCATGTAGAATACCTTCACTCTCCAAAAACTCGCTCCCTGCCTTCCCTCAGAAACCTGTGACACCCACGGATCTTCTCGTTGTCTGTCCATGCCTTTTTCATTCACAAGCCCAGGCTGAAAGCTCAGCCCATCTGGGAAAGGCTGTCTTCAAGGCCCAGGGGAAGGGCAGGCGCCGGCAGAGCATGCAGTGGCTTTAGAGCTTCTGCCTGGAACTGGAATAGGTCACATCCCCTTACAGTAGGTTGGCATAAGCCTCTTGTCAATGGGCAGGGACATATACTCCTCCCACAGGAAGTTAGAGTAACATTGTAGCCAGTGGAGACATGCAATTCTCTTACAGGGAAGGGGGGAGTAAATAATGAGGGAACAATAACATGGTATACCATATAGCATCAGCGCCAACCCTGGCCACTCAGTTCTCCACTCACAACCACTCCATCCAGCCACAATCATCTGTCTACTCCATCCATACCTGTCCCACTTTTCTTGTCTCTTCACTAAGCAAACTCCTCAGTTTTCAGGATTGAGTTTACTCTAGAAAGACGTTCCTGACTAGATTAACATGCTAGTCTATCCTGTATGTTGTGTGGGATTTTTTGCTTTCTTAGCTAAATTATCTGCTTATATGAATTTTCTTTTTCTTTTTAACTTTCATTTGACTTCGACCAAGGTCTTCATAGAAGAAAAATGATCTGCATACGTAAGAGTGATCTTACGGTGGTGTCCGATCAAAGGTGTGACTACCTACCCCTTCCACTGTCTGTGACTGAAAGGTGCAATACAGACTGTGAACTAAGGTAAAAGAAAAATAATGTACCCAGTGTATCAGGTAGCCAGATTAAAATCAATAAATGAATAAGATGTCAAGCATCCTAGTGCAATGCCTGGCACAGAGAGGACATGTAATTATTGTCTATCCTCTGTCCCTGCCATTATGAAATTCCAGGCTCACTAACTTATTGTGAAACTCAGCAGCTGGTTTGAATTTTTGTTGCTAGTATTTACTGAATATGGTCAGAGGCCTCAATATTTGTATAGGAAATAGAAACGGAGTTGTCTATAAAATATATACAAATAAACTCTAATCTGAAAATCCATGGTTTAAATATCTGAAACAATAAATTTTGTAGCAAGATTCTGTAATTCCCATTTGATTGATGAACCAATGAACTTTTAAAGTTTGAGGATTAGAGAATCCATAGATAAAGAAATAAATTTTATCAGCATGTTTCCCATTAAGCATTAAAGAACATGACCTAGATCACAGGGAAGTTTGTACATCTAACTTAAATTTCCTGTCATCAGGTTTTTTGTGTAAATAGTCTTAGAGTGAAGCTAAGAATAATAACCCATCTAGCTGGTGACAGTTAACATGTGGGGATGGACAGAAGCTCCTTCACCCACCAAAGATGAAAATTTATATATATTTGTGATGATGTTTGAAGACATATAGTGAAAGCCTAATGGTAGAAGTGCCTGTGTAAGTTACATCACTGCCACGCAGTAGAGTAAGACACAAGAAATCCTTGAGATACTGTTGCGGATGGAAATGAACTCTGAATTCTGTGCTTTGTTTTACTGGTATACTACCAATGTCTGATAGATCACTGGATAATAATTGGAATAATTTGGCAAAAATTATAGATTTTACTTGTGGAAAAAAAATTTCCCTGAAAACAGCTAAAAATAGATCACATGAGTTAATAAGAAAATGTGATATGCTCTATAAAAACCTTGTTTACCAACTTTTAAATGCTTTATCTGTGTGATCATATTCTCAGTATTCCCTGATCATAATTATCCAGGGGTTGCACAGGGAGACACTCCCTGATTACAAGTCAAATAGATTTGGTTATAGACTTAATTATACAATTATTGCTACTAATTAATTGGGTAATCTTGATCTAAGCCAGTTGTTTTCGAAAGTTTTTGGCAAAGCCTGGGTTCGCAAAGCTGCTGCCAAATGTCAGGGTCAACAGGTATAGTGCTGGCTGCTATCTCCAGCTTTCACCAGACTGGCTACGATTTCACAGGTTTGAAGAGCAAGTTAGATTTTATTTATGAAAAAAGTGATACATCTAACAAAAAAAGTCAAGTGCTTATTATCATTCGCATACACAACCCCTCTGGGCCTCATTTTCTTATCTATAAAATGAAAGTTTGAGTTATATAATCCCTAAGAACTCTATTTCTAATTTGGTGACACAAACTATTTTCAGATGGCTTGTTTATCAACTCGCACACAATTTTAAAAATTGAATCCTATGCATGAGTCTCTCTGAACTCGTTTTTGGATTGCATTAATTGGCATACCTCCTAAGAGTGATAACATCCTTTGCTCTAGATGGCACATCATCGGCAAAAGTGAATGTTCATCTCACTGTGGTCAAGGATACAGGTCCTTGGATGTCCACTGCATGAAGTATTCTATTCATAAAGGACAAACTGTCCCGGTAGATGACCACTACTGCAGTGACCAGCTGAAACCTCCTACTCGAGAACCCTGCCATGGTGACTGTGTCTTAACAAGGTGGCATTATTCGGAATGGTCCCAGGTACAGACAAACAGTGTTACTTATGAAAAGTTACTCCTTTTTTTTTTTCTAATTAAACATTTGTTGCTCTAAAGTATACTTTTGTTAAATCCCCCCAAACCCCCATTTTTCACTACTTTTCTTCTTGTTTTTCAATCAGTGTTCCAGGAGTTGTGGAGGAGGGGAAAGGTCTCGAGAATCTTATTGTATAAATAACTTTGGCCACCACCTTGCTGACAGAGAATGCCAAGAGCGTCCCCAAGCGACGATAGAGAATTGCAATGAATTTTCCTGTCCCAGTTGGGCTACCAGTGAGTGGAGTGAGGTAACATTAAACACATAAGGCTTAGAACTCTTACAATATTGTGTAGGAAAGCTTTGCCATCTAGGCTGTATGTAATTCAAAATTCTTTAAATTTATTATTTTGTAAATTACTTTGTTATCAAGGCAATAAAAATGAATAAGTGGTTGGTTCTTAAAACATTTACAGTATCTGGCTAACACTACCCTTTACTGGTGTTTAATCTGTAACTGTTTTCATAAGATAGTCCCACTATCCACAATAGCCTGAGATACATATTTATTCTAAGGTATTTTTGTCCATTTGTTTCTAGGGCAAATAGATGTTGCATTGGGATTTGGGCAGCAAGTTTGGGTGGCTGATCTTACCCAGTGAATATCACTGGAGGAGTGAAGGGAAAATGTCCTTAGGAATGGTCTTTCAACTGCATTTTAATATGCAAATTAATAATTATATCATTTTGTAAGGTGCTTTATTGATTAATATTGAACATAAATAATGGTCAGTTGTATTCTTACAGTGTCTTGTTACATGTGGAAAAGGAACAAAGCAGCGACAGGTGTGGTGTGAACTGAATGAAGATCATTTGAGTGATGGCTTCTGTAATCCAAGTACCAAACCTGAATCTCTGAGGCCATGTGAGCTTCATGCATGTGCTTCCTGGCAAGTAGGACCATGGGGTTCTGTGAGTATACGATAAGGGTGTTTCTGACTTCATCTGTCTCTACAGAATAGCACAAACATTGCGGTATATTCATTCCTTTAGTAGATGGCAGCTAAATTTGGATTCGTTTATTGGAAAAATACCACTGAAACAGTAAACCCTTATTTGCACAATTTTCTCAGTAGTGCTATTAATTTGCTCTGGTAAATATTTCAGCTTTGTGTTTGAATTTACAAGATGCTACAAATGTTATGCTTTCATTAGCTTTGTTTATAAATATTTTCATGTTGTTTCTAATTATCTTTATTGTATGTAGAATAGGCATTGTTTAGAAGTTTTGTCAAAGAGGAAGCTAGGAATCTGCAGGATGAACAGTGGTCAGGCGGGGTAAGGGTGGCCAGTTTATATCCACAGCTGATGGGAAACCTTCTCTTACCTTCCCTTGAACTTTGTCTTATGTCCTTGCTTCTTCATCTCTTTGGAATTTACTCAGCATGTGTGTATTCCATGCTGGTGAGTCAGCTGTGACTCCTGGTGACCTTATGAATAGGTGTCTACAATATCCCTGTCTTTAACAGCCCTGCTCCGCTCTATAGAGTCTTGCCTACCGCTTCTTTTATGGAGTCAATCCATCTCATATTTGGCCTTCCACTTTTTCCTCTGCCTTCTGTTTTTCCCAGAATTATTCTTCCTAGTCCCCCCCCCCAAAAAAAAACACACCTGCCTTCTCATGATGTCCCTAGAGTAGCTTCGGTTTTGACATTTTGCTTCTAATGATATTTCAGGCTTAGTTTGTTCTAGGATCCCCCTGTTTATCTTCCTGGTAGTCCAAGGTGTCAGTGGCCCTCTCCTCCAAAACCGAATTTCAGTTCATCAATTTATTTAGCATAATAAATGGCATACATACACGAGGTAGATTTTTTTGAAAAGTATTCTATTTCCCTAAATTCTGCTGACTGTCTCCAAAATGTCAGATCTCTGTTGATGTTTTTACATGATGATGTTTTCAAGATACAATAATAACTGTCCATTTTAACTTCAGTATTTTACTAGTAGCTAGCTATATAAATTTGAATACATATATACAGAGAATAAATTTACTAATATTTAGTCTAGAATCTGGTGTAAAGACTAATAAAAAAATCTTCTGAAAGGATATTATTAACTGTGTATTTATTAAAAAATTAAGTTTCTATAATTTTTAAATAGTGATGGTATTTGATATCTGCTTATATTCTTTCAGTGCACAGCCACATGTGGACATGGGTATCAGATGCGTGCTGTTAAGTGTGTCAATGAGCTACTCAGTGCCGTGTTGGATGACAGAGGGTGCCATGGAGCTAGTCGCCCTAGTGACAGGCAGGTAAAGGACACCTGTTCATGGATTATGAAAAAGAAAGGCGTATGACATAGGAGGATGAATGCTGTGTTAAAATGATTTCCACACGCCTTTTTCCCACTATGTGCCTTAAGAACATGTGTGTGCATGTGCGTCAGAGAGATCTTATCATTCTTGGGTTTTCCAGCTTTATAGTTTTAGGAATACACTTTTTATTCTTTATCTGCCATTGGATCCTTCACTTAACATATATTTCCATCCTTTGAATTGCAGAAGGAGGACAATATCTATTATGAATATCAGACCTTTAAAGTGTGTCCTACTGTTTAAGGCAGTCTGTGTTCATTCAGAATGTCTCGGGTCAGTGGTATTTTTGAAGAACTGTTGCTCTTATCAGCCATCAGAACAAAATGACCCAGACTTTAGAATTGTCATACTATCCACTTCAAGCCCTTGCCAGTACTTTATACTTTTGGAAAACAAACAAAAGGAAACCTTTCCATTGTTTGTTTGCAATTGAGTATGAAACTATTCTTGAACTAGATATGGGGAAGAAGAAATGAAGTATAGGATTTAATGCACTTCAGAGTGATTAGTTAATTGATGTTTTGTGAGATCTGTTTTTCTTTTGAACAGGACTGCATGGTGACACCTTGCCCAGTTATCCCTCAAATTGGGGCCACTTCATTACCAGCTGTTCCCATGGGAAAGATAGCGCAATGGCGACATGGTTCTTGGACGCCAGTAAGTGAATTTTATTAAGAGGTACAGTGTTTCTATTATTGGAGGCTTTTAGATACCCACAGAATGGTTGCTACAGTTTGCCAAATTAATGTATGCATCCATTGTCAGGTATTTTGATGGTGTGGAAGGATTTGGGAGTTTAGAATTGGGTAACTTAATGGCCAAATTCTGTGCCTTTCAAGAACTGTGTCTCTGGGCAAGAAACTTAAGTTTCTGGGTCTATTTTGTAATTATAGAATGGGGATATGTCACAAGCTGTTATGAGAAGCAGATATGATATGAGGCTGTTTGGTGTTTTTTTGTTTTTGTTTTTTGTTTTTGTTTTTTAATCAGCCTTTATTTAAACTACTGACATTTTCATGTTTTTCTAAATTGAAAGCTTTGCTTTAACCATATGTGGTCTATATTTGAAAGCTTCTCATATTCTCTGAATAAATTATGTGTTCATATTTACTCTGTTACTTAGGTCTTCAAAGATATTTTAAGTATTTTAACATTCTCTTATACAAAATGCTTTTCATCTCTCTAATTTACCAATAATTAATTGGTATCCCAGGAAGTTGAATGTACTGTTCTCATTGTAAATATTCAATTTGTGAAATTTATTATATAAACTTAGTGGGGTATTCACTGCCTGTCCTTGACTCAGAAAGGGATGCCAGGTGATATCATTTACAATTTGATTTTTCAAGAAACTTGATATTTTAGAAATTTGAGCAACTGCTTTGTGTAAAGGAAGTAGGGAAGGTACTATATAACACCTGGGTATCATTCCATTTTTTTAAGTGCTCTGCATCTTGTGGAAGAGGTAACCAAGCCCGCTACGTGAGCTGTCGTGATGCTCATGACGGAATAGCAGATGAATCATACTGTGCATACTTACCTCGACCTGCCGAAGTCTCTGTCTGCTTCAGCCCTTGTGGGGAGTGGCAAACTGGGAATTGGTCACCTGTAAGTATTTTTATGAGAAAAGAATGAAATAAAAAATTTAAATATGCCCTGGCCGGTTTGGCTCAGCAGTTAGAGCATTGGCCTGTGGTCCAGAGAGACCCGGGTTCGGTTCCCGCTAAGGGCACATACCTCGTTTGCAGTTTGTCCCCGGCCTTGGTTGGTCGTGTGGGTGGCAGCCGCTCAATGTGTCCCTTTCACGTTGATGTTTCTCTTTCTCTGTCCCTCCCACTCTATCTGAACAAAAAATGGAAAAACGTCCTCGGGTGAGGATAAAAAAAAATTTAAATATAATTAAGAAGTACAAATTGGCAGTTACAAAATAGTCATGGGGATGGAAAATACAGTATAGGGAATATAGTCACTACTATTGTAATAACTCTTTATGGGGCCAAGTGGGTACTAGACTTATAGGGGTGATCACTTCATAAGTTATATAAAATTTAAGCATGATGCTGTACACCTGAAACTAATATAATATTGAATGTTATGTGTAATTGAAAAATAAAAATATTTGATATTTAATATTATATTATAGTTTATTACATTGCAAATGTTGTCGAAATTTGTAATCAGTGTTCAGCTTCCTGTGGCCATGGGAAAACAAATCGACAAGTTTTATGCATCAAGTACCATCAGCCAATTAATGAGAATTACTGTGACCCTGAAGTTCGCCCTTCAATGGAACAAGATTGTAATGTGGCAGCCTGCCCGCCTATGTACAGCAACTTTCCAAGTTCCTCTGAGCAGCCAAACCATTTTCCAGGCAGGAATTTTCCACTAACTCACAAACCAGAAGATAATGAAAAGTGGGGGGTCCATCCATCCATCAGAGGAAACCAATGGAGAACAGGACCATGGGGATCAGTAAGCAGTCTTTATTGAGTTATAGTAATTCTGTAATTTTGTTATCTTATAGCCTTTTAACGGGTATGTATGTAATGACAGCTGATGCTTTTAATGCTACGTTTATTTGAAGATCAATAGTTTAAATCGTAAAAGGATTAAGCAGGTTTTGATAATAGATAACAAATCCCCAGAGTTCTTATTGAATTACACACTAATGTGATATTATGTTTACAGAAGAATGAACTTCAAAACAATCAGATTATAGTCCATTTTAATCAAAGCAAGATGAAATCTTTTAAGACTACAAAGGTTTATGAAAAAATGAAACCCAGAAATTGATAGCAGTGTAGCAAGCTGGTATAATAACATGATAAATACAGAAGGTACAATTGTATTTCATATTTTATATGAAATTAAAGACACAAAATAGAGAAAAACACCAATTTAAAGTTAAGTAATTTAACACTATTCCTTCAGATTGAGACCTTCAAACTTGGATTGCTTATTACTTAGTATTTAGGACAAAGGTGAATTTACTATTGCAAGCTTTTAAAAGACCACCTTTCCTAGAAAGATTATATGTACCCCCATGTTTGTAGCAGCACTATTTACAATAGCTAAGATCTGGAAACAGCTCAAGTGTCCATCAGTAGACGAGTGGATAAAAAAGCTATGGTACATATACACAATGGAGTATTACGCAGCTGTAAGAAAGAAAGATCTCTTGTCCTTTGAGACGACATGGAGGGACCTGGAGAGTATCATCCTGAGTGAGGCAAGCCAAACAGAGAAGGACAAGTATCATATGATCTCACTTATTTGTGGAATATAATGAACATAACAGTCTGAGGAATGGGGTAGTCCCAGAGACGTGGAGGTGGGGTACAGACTGACAATCCCCAGAAGAGGGGATGGTGGGGGAGAGATAAACCACAGAACTTATATGCATGTATGCATGAACAGTGGACATGGACAACAAACTGGGGACAGGACGGGGAGGGAGGGGGAGGAGGGAATCAGGGGGGGGAAGAAACATCTGTAACAAAAATTAATTAATAAAAAAGAAAAATAAATAAATAAAACACCACCTTTTCATGAATTGGATGACTCACATTATAGAGATGTAAATTCTCCTCAAATAGACATATAAACTCCGTGAAATACCAATCAAAACTGAGCCTTTGGGAGGACAGAGACTGTTAGGTTGTTTCTGGAATGTATATGAAAATAAGAGTCAAGAATAGAAAACAACAACAAACCCAAACAGACTAAAAAATAAAATCACCTTTTCATCAGCAGATTCTAATGAAGCCCCTGCTAAAACTCGAGTGTCCTGACAGAGTTCCTCAATTCAAATTATGATCCCACTACAGGGGGCTTTCACGTGGGGACTTTGAATTTGAGTCAAAATACGAATGCTTTCTCCATGTCACCTCGTGATGTGGAATCTGGGGTTTGTATGTTTTGTGTCTGTCAGTGCTCCAGCAGTTGTGCCGGAGGTGCTCAGCGCCGAGTTGTGGTCTGCCAGGATGAAAACGGACAAAGTGCCCATTACTGTGATGCTGCCTCCAAACCCCCCGAGTCCAAGCACTGCGACTCAGGACCTTGTCCACGGTGGAACTATGGAAGCTGGGGAGAAGTAAGTATAGTGTTTCTTAAACTTGTGGAGGCCATGGCATCTCTGCAGACCAAAAGTGAAGTACTTCCTACTGTTACTGTTAGATCATATCGCCTCGCTGTACTGTGCAGAAAGATCTTTTGTTTTATCCAGTTAGCAAAACCATGTTCTTTTTTTTTTTTTTTTTTTTATCCTCACCTGAGGACGTTTTTCCATTTTTTTGTTCAGGTAGAGTGGGAGGGAGAGAGAGGAACAGAGAGAGAGAGAGAAACATCGATGTGAAAGGGACACATCGAGTGGCTGCCACCCGCACAACCGACCAGGGCCGGGGACAAACTGCAACCGAGGTACATGCCCTTAGCGGGAACCGAACTCGGGTCTCTCCGGACCGCAGGTGTATGCTCTAACCGCTGAGCCAAACCGGCCAGGGCAAAACCATGTTCTTTTAATAGACATTCTGTCATGGTATGTATCACTCCTTCATGACGGGAAATATACACTCTAGATTTTTAAACAGAATCTAATAAGGTTAGCCAATATGTCTGTGAACCTAATACCTTTCTAAAATTAGTATATTGTTTTAATTTCTTAGAAAATTGGATTAATATATAGGCCATGTTTATATCTTATTACAGAACCATTCATTTGCTGAATCTCTTAAGCAGATAGTTGATGATTATTGAGCACTTTCTTTATGTCCTGGCATTCTTCTTCTTCTTTGGATATGAAGATAATTTTTAAATGGTTATAATGAATATTGATCTCACCTGTAATATGGATGAGAAGAATGAGAAAGACAATGGCGTTGGATGAATAAAATAAACCACCTAATTTAATTAGTCAAATATTTTTGTTTAATGATTTTTTAGTACATATTTTTTCTTCATAGGAATTTTAGAAATCATTTTTTAAAGATACACTTCTGACCAGGTGATTATAAATATCAAGTAACATTTTTATATCTGAATTGAAGCATGCTTATTGTGGAAATTCAAATAATGTGAAAAATTATGTAGAGATAAAAACTTTTAACATATTAATACATTTCCTGCCAGATATCTGTCCTACATTGGGCTAGAAATAGGGTAATATTATCCACCTACTGTTTTTTATGTACTGTACACTGAACATCTTTCCATGTTTATAAATTTAGATCTGCCTTATTAGCTTTCATAGCTATAGAGTATTCTATTGATAGGATACCATACATTATGTAGTTACCACATATTAAGTAAATCAGTTTTGTTTTTGGTTTAACCTGCCAGACTCTTAACCTACCAAGAGTCTATGTTATAGATCCTTGATATTTTACTGAAATATCTTATGGTACCAATACTCAAAATTTTGTTTATTTTTTAAAATTATGGAAGCAATCCTTTTTCTTTCTTACCCAGGAAGAAATGTTGACAATTATGAGGAAAGGATAAACTTTAGACGAGCATTTCTAATGATGAATGAAACGTTCAATAAAGCCGTATCATATTCTCTTGACAGCCACAGCATTCTTCATTTTCTTCTCAATTTTAGTGTACACAAACATGTGGAGGAGGAATAAAGTCAAGATTTGTAATCTGTCAGTTTCCCAATGGCCAACTGTCACAGGAGCAAAACTGTGAAATCTTAAACAAGCCACCTAGCGTGGCACAGTGCCATGTGCATGCCTGCCCTGGTGATGTGTCATGGCACCGGGGACCGTGGAAATCGGTACGATAGTCTTCTTATTTTTACCTGTTCTGTTGTATTTTGTTTTACTATGTCCCCTTTAATTTCCTTTTTTTAAAAAATATAAATTGTGATGCACACACTATATCTTTCTCATGTTTTAAGCAGACCCTTGGTCATCTTGACTTGTGTTATTATATTTGATAGTTTGGATGAACAATCCGTTCAAGTACTGTAATATGTATAATAATAGTTTTATATGTATTTATTTTTTTACAAATGAATTTTGAACCATAGTACTATTCTAATTTGAAATATTTCACTCTGGTACATTTTGGCTTGCCAATTAATCAGAAATGTTTACTATTTACATTTGTATCTAATGTTATCATTGTGCTTGTAACAGTGGCAAATTAAGGCGGTGTCTTGTTTGCGTGTATCACTGTATGTGGCTTTCTTTTGTCTGTCATTGTCCAGTAACTGATCCAGAAGCAAATAACATTCTTTAAAACTTTGTTTTATCATTGTTTAACTTAGTATTTTGTTTGGAAATGTGAAAATATTATATAAAAGTAAAGATAGAGAATTTTACATAGCTGAAGTAAATTGTTTACAATTTGTTACATACATCATGGAAAAGTATGATTTATATAGTAATTTATATGAATATGAATATTCATTTCTTCCACTGTGTGGAGTTACTGTGTTTTGGGGACATTTTAATTTTTTTGGAGCCATAGACAAAATTCATAAATATTGTTTGTGAATGGTTTATTTTTTCTAGTATTTTTCAAATATCCAGGCTTTGAAGCATAATTAATTTATATTTATATATATATTAAAATTAGCATTTTGGTCACTTTTGATATTTTAAATTATGAATAACCAAATATACTTCTTTCAGGTGAAAACTGATTTGAGTCTATAATCTATTTATAATTAAATTTATAAAACTAAACAGTTCTTCATTTGAAAAATAATTATAACTCTGGTTTTATAACCAATTTTGATGTGTACAGTTGTTTTTCTTTGTCCAAGTCAAAGCTTTATAATGACATGTAAACCCAAGTTTCCATTTAATACTATTTGAAAAGTAGGTCAAGTTCTAATTCACCTTTATAGTCAAAGTGTGACTGATATAAAATAACAGAACATTTTAACTTTATAGGAGAATCTTAAAGTTGCTACATCAGAAAACCATCATTTTGTGGGAATTAACAAGACATGTTTTGCCATAGAAAGCACCCACATGTTTACTTCATAAAATGTTTACTGACCATCTACTGTATCTTAGGCACGGTGCTACAAAGATAATAAAGACATGTTTCTTATCCTTGTGGAGTTCACAGTCTAGTTGGAGAGATTTGAAATTCTATAGAAACTCAACATAAAAAGGTATCATTCTTTTCGTTAGCCATCTTAGGTTGGAAATTCACTTTCTCTGTACTGTATCTATTATATTTGCTTTTATTTCATTGGTTTTGGTTTGCAAGCCTAGGTCTTAATAAGGCTATGGATTGCTTTCTTGAAATTTTTCCCCAACTAGGAGAGCAAACTCCTAACCACTAATTAGAGATTGACTTGTAATGGCATTTGTTTCTGAACACAAAGGTTTTATTTTCCCTAGTCATTCACGACTTCATTAATTCTCAAATCATTAAACATTTTCTTAATGTCTTCTGTTTGTGCTAGTTACAAAAGTACCTAAAATTATGTTTTTTTGAGTCAGATATTGTATTCAAAGGGTCAACAAACTATGGCCAATGGATTAAATCTGGCCCACTGCCTCCTTTGGTACGTAAGTTTTATTGGAACACAGTCATGCACATGTGTATGTATTATCTGCGGCTTCTTCTGCACTATGAAGCAGAGTTCATTAGTGGTAATAGAGACTGTATGGCCTTCAAAGCTGAAATATTTACTATTTGGCCCTTTCTGAGAAAAGTTTGCTGACTCGTTTTATTTAATAAACTATGTTTTTTAAATTTAACATAAAATTTAATTCTAGTTATAGAATATTAGAATTACAAATGTTCATTTGGGGTCCGTTTTAGATTTTTTAAGCCCTTGTTTAATGTTTTAAAACAACTTCACATTTATCACTCTTCTCTATATATTCACTGTGGTATTCACACACGTTTTTCCAGCTTTATTGAGATGTAACTGGCCTATAACATTACATAAGTTGGAGGTGAACAGCGTCACACAATGTTTACATATTGTGTTGGAATGCATCTAATACTACATTCCAGTATACTTGTGGCATGCTAGTTTTTGTATATAAATGGTATATGAAAAACTTTGAATGTCCATTCAAGTCCTCTGCATAGATGACTTCTTCAACCTCACAAAAACTAATGAACAAGAAAACAATAATAACCACAAATTACAAAATAGTAAGATGGACATACACAAACCATTGTCTACTACATGTCTGTTCCTAAAGGAGTTCATTGAATAATCCAGTCTTTGCACTAGTAAAGAAATGTAATCTTTATGTTTCTGATAAATTGAAGGTGAATTTTAAAAGTCACAAATGTTTATATCAGAATTTTTACAAACTTATTTATTTACCTTTTATATGTATAAAGTACATTTATATCATTAGAGTTCTTGGATTTCTTTTATTATATGAAGAATTTTACTCCTTAAATTAGCCTTTTATATTAAAAGGGTTTAAAGGATCTGAAGTTTTGCTAGAGCCAGATAGAACCTTGTACCTCTTTTAGTGTTGCTACATAGTAGCCAAATTTCAGAATACCTCTTATTAATATACCAGGTTAATATTCTTTCATGGATAACTTTAATTTCAACAGGTCCTGTTCACTATATTAGGAAATTAAGAATGTGTGTGTACATATGTGTATACATATACGAGTGACATGACATTTCAGCAGTACATTTTATTTTAAAGCAAAATTAAAATATGAAATGCTTACTCATTAAAATGTAACTAAGAAGAAAAGTTGTTACTGTACATTTAAATTTTCTCCATGTTGCGGGAAATTTTGTAATAACTTACAAACGTGATTAAAGAAGGGAATAAATATATCTTAACCTATGTCTGTTAATTTAATGACTATTTTTTGTGATTAGTCAATGTAAAGTGATTGTATTTTAACCCTTGTTTATTAATGACGTGTTGTGGCTTTGTGCTTTGCATAATCTATATGTGTATGTTATATTTTTACTCCTTGGATTAATACCTAAAATGCTTTAAATCACTGAACAGATCTTGTATTGTAATGAATGCCTCTTTTCTTTTGATGGTATATTTTTCTTAAATAACAACTGTTCATTTCTATAATTAAACTTTGAATTATTGAATAGTACATGTTTTTATAATTTTACTTAGTGTATATATATATATATATATATATAAGCTGCTACTATTTTTTAGATAATTTTGTAAGAAACTAACATTGGTGTTAAAATACATGATTTGTTTAGCTATCAATTTTTAAATACTAGCTATTTTATAATTTGATTTTATCTATTACAAGCAATGAATAAAAATTATGATAAAAAGTTATTTAGTACATTAAAAATGTACTTCTGACCAAGATAGTCTTTAAAAGGTAAGTAAAGTTTTATTTTCCTTTTCTCTTCTTTTTCATATATATAGTAGGAATATTACAGGTAACATAATCAAATCCTCCCAACAAATGTTCTTTAAGTAACTTTATATTAATCTTTCTATATTTTCCCACTAAGTCGCATTTAAGTGATTCATTTTCCTACATGTTTTAATTCTCTACATAGAATGAAATCGTATTTGGTAAGAAAAATGTGTATTTCAGTGTTTTCTGGGATTGATGGTGATTCAACAGAAGTAACAAGAGTCTTCTTTGCCATAAAAGATTGTGTTTTTGCACAAAAATGAGAAAATGGTTTTTTAAAAATGAAAGCTCGATACTTGAACCCTCCCGATTCTAGCATCTTCCCCCAAAGTGTTTTTTAAAGAATAGACTTCTGTAGCATTTTGTTTATATATATGTACACACACACACACACACACACACACACACACACACACACAGATGCACTAAATCTCTGGATTATATAAAATATAGTGTATGTACTAAATACATATATGGAATGTAACAAAAGCACTTCCAGAGTGAGTATGCGGTAGCAGCACACACCCAGGAAATCTGCAGTTTGTTGCTTTTAACAGCTTTGTGTAACAATAGAACGTTGAGGGTCTGAGAAGAGAGGTTAGGCTGCTCCTTGCACAGGCGCTTCCACTCCAGGTGGAGTGCACTCAGGAAGAGACCTGTAACAGCCTCCATTGTTCCTAAGGTCAGCAGCAGCAGCCAGGAGAACAAGGTAATGTGTGGGGGAAATGGTTTCAAGAAACTGTCAATTCTTTGTGAAGTGGAGTAACATTTGTAGTCATTATTTTCTTAAATTTGTAAAAGACACACAAGCATAATAATGGGCTGGAAGTCTATTCCAAATGTATTATAGAAATCTTTAATACTTAATAGATGTGTTCATTAGTTTATTACCATAACCTTCTGTTACATTCATTGATGCTTCCTACAGTTATGAATGAACATCTACACATCAAGTGTTGTGCTGCTCACTAGAGATAAACCAGGCACAATTCCTCTATGCAAGGAGTTAGCATTTTTGTGCTGAATGCACATGAACAGATGATCAGAAGGCAGAGTGGGATTTCTTTCTCATTTGTAATATTGAAGACTCATAATACTGGGGGCTAATAGATTACAATTATCCAAGAATTAGTAATGAGGATTAGGCTTTCTAGAAGCCTATACTCGTAAGGTATATTCTACTGTGACCTGGCAAGAGATGAGCAGTGTCCTAAGTTCCTGAGCTAGAGGAACAGTTCAGTTTTTGTGTATACGCAGTGTCTTCCTTTTTTGCACATGTGGATTTCATGCCTCACCAAAAGGGAAAATATGGATGGATTTCTAGTTTTCCCTAGCTATAGTGCTCTCAAAATAATTTTAGAGACCCAAATAGTCCTTGCATATTTGAAATGAATGACCTAAGAAAAATCTAAGTATGTAACC